TCTCCGCTTGTTGGATAAAAATGTCAAGCCTCCGCATACATGCATCTCCCCTCCACCCTCCCGTGAAATGTCGATTTTCGAGATTAAAAAAAAAACAATAATTGCATTTTTTATTTCAATAACGCATGAGTAAATAGGGATATGAACGCAGATTTAATATAGGCCCATAGAATTACGGGGACCGGCAAGGATTTGGAAAGTCTGAATGCAAGTGCTGCTTACACCTAACAAGTGCTGAAATGGGACATAACCAGAGGTAGAAAGGTCTCGGAAGCACTTGGGAAGAGGCTTCCCAAGACCTATCCAGTTCTGAACGGAGAGACCTAAGTAGAATTTGTCAGGTCCAATTATTCGACTCGGGCTACACCCTTTCAGCCAAAATTCACGTTTTTTCATTTTTCTGGCAAACTATTGATCGAATTGACGCGAAATAATTATACCGTTTTTGCGTTTTATCGTTATTGACTGACTCACGAAGTTTCCTGGTGGTTCAATCATTTTCCTGCATTTTTTCTAAAGTTTTGCGAAGTTCCGAAAAGTTTTAGAAAAAACGGAGGAAAATGATTGCACGATCATGAAATTGCGTGAGTCATTAAGTAGCGATAAAACGCAAAACGATCTATTTTTTCACGTCAATCCGATCAACAATTTACCAGAAAAATTCAAAAAACGTGAATTTTTGCTAAAAAGGTGTAATACATCCTTAAACAGCACTCAAATTTTTCGTACCCGGTAGATTCCAATGTTTCCAGTGCTAGCACTAGGATTAAAAAATATAGATACATTTAAAAAAATGTGCCACCTCGGGGGATTGGCTATCTGGACATTGCACACATGAACTTGAAACAAAGACGGTTCATACATCTCTCCAATATGGAAAAGTTCAAGGCCACCGGAAGGAATGAAAGGTGAAAACTAATTTCCATGGTTAGCGACCTACCACACCAAAGTATGTCAGCTGTGCGAGTGTCGTAACAGGGCCCCGTATGTTGGTGGTGAAGGCTGCGGGTGCAAGGCCAACGGCCAACGAGATCTTGTCGTTGTACTCCGGCCTCTCCGAGGTCATTACCCAAAATTGCGTGGTACCCTGCGAATGGCCAATGAACAAGAGTTTGGATCGATGGAGTCTCTCCAGTACGTAATCTATCATCGCCGGTAGATCGTAAATTCCTAGCTCGTGGTAACTGGGAGGATAATAAGTATTTTTTCCTTCATTATCCGGGGAACAATGGAATTATTGGAGTTTTTACCTGAAGTCCCAGAAGGTTCTGTTGCTCGGTGGAACACTGCGATGATGGCGGGAATAAATATTCCCACGATTGTTGCCCAACCAGACGTCATAGCCTTCGTCCGCCAACATGTAGGCTGGGGGAAAAATAATTTGAGATCTCAATCGATTGTTACTAGACATCATCAACTATATATAAACGTTTTCAAAACTCTTCTCGCGTGGAACTGAATATATGCGTTAAATATATTTATAACTTTAAAAAATATATGTGACATATATTGACTCATACGAGCGGATATGCCACATACTTTGCACATATATTTCGAATACTACACTTTTTGCCGCTTTTATACATGTTGAATTGTACTGTTTTTAAATGCAAAATTTTTGTCAGATATTTCCGGTACACTTTTTGGAAAATTTTTATCGAATTGAATAATGACTGAAATTTCAAGGAATTTCGTCATTGTAAATTCAGAATTTCGTGAAAAAATCAAAGAGAACTGTCAATTTCAGTTCCATTTTTTCCTGAAAATGAATAGAAAACCAGAAAATTCCGATAAATATATTCTAAAATTTTCAGGATAGTGAAGCTGAATGCGATTTAGGAGGAAAAAATCATGAAATTTCAAATTTTACAGAAAATTCAATGTAATTTGGCCCTGAATATTCGTATTAGATTGGAAATTCAAATAAATTAAGGAATTCTTGTCTTTATGCTGCTTAAAATTCTGGAAGTGAAACCTAAAATTTCATGAGTTTTTTTCCTGCAAATCCGATTCAGTGTCACAGTCCTGAAAATTAATAGTCAACTGTCCATGAAATTTAATTTTGTTTCTAACAGAGTGTATGTGTGGCACATATATACGCTGAATTTGTTAATAAGTGTACGTAATATGGTAAAAATGTATGTAAAATATATTTGGACAGCAATTTTTCTCCGCGCGAGTTCGCATTGAGCAAAATCGGATAAATCCTCGGGAATAATTAATGATCATTCCAATCGTCTTCGATGATGAGGATGGCACAATACGTTCTAATGTCAAATAACTCGGCGATTTTATCTCAGAAAATCAAGTATTTAACTTTACACACCTGGTGAATGTACATTCTGAAACTATAATTTCAGCTTCACCTTGACGGTTTCAATTTCGCATTCTCAATAAATGTAAAACCGATTGCCTCATGCTACTTTTCGAATACCAGATACTTCAAACCTGTTAAGTAGAACATAGTTTACGAGGGGGACAGAGTCTGTGTTACCGAGAGCCTTGTCAGGGCCAGTGAGGACCCAATCGGCGGAGCTACCGCCCAAGCCATGCTGAAGAAGAACCGGTGGACGATTACTTCGGATGTTGCGACGCTCTTCGCATCTTCCGAAAGGAATACGGTGCATCTCCAGGATGTAACCGTCATCGGTAACCACTCTGTGAGCCTCCAAAGGGTATCCGTATTTCGAGGCCAAATCCGGCTGCAGCCAATTTATTAATAATTCGGGATTAGTTCCATTTCACGATCACTTGTAAAGTAATTGTGAAGCAGCAGAAGAAGGGACAAATCAAAACTACTTCATGACGATTGTCTTGTGAATATCTTCGGATTTCATTTATTCGGAGGAATATTAAGAGATCTTCATTCGAGTTTAAGAAATTCTCTATAAAAAGGTCCAGTGATGAACTCGAAAAACATACGTCCATTTTTCACGTCTCATTAACGATAGTACGAAGTACTTTTCTCAGTTTTCACAAATCTGCACACTACATTCCACAAAAATCATTTTTTTAACATTCCCTTCTTGTAAATGAATAATCCAAATCTTTTGAGCTTTTAAAAAACTTATTCATCTAGCATAAAATTGATTTTTATAAATCTCTGAATATTGCAATCCTAAAAAATTGAAAATTTTAAAGGATTGCTTGTAAATTATTTTTTTTAACGAAGCATTCTTCAAAAATTGAAATTTTTCAGATGAGCAGAATGTTTCCGTTCTTAAATAATTTTTTTTTCCTCTCGTACACCCTTTCGGGTTTTTACGATTTGTTCCGTTCCCACCTCCAACCCCCTGTACCGCATTCGCCGAAGGACAAGGGAAGCCTCATTTGAGGGAAAAACCTCCCCAGGTACAGTCGTCTCTCGCGAGACTCCCGCTCGACAATGAAACCGTGAGATTTAGAGTGTCACAAATTTTGGCCCCCCAGCCGGGAATCGAATCCGAATCTCCCGCATGCCAATCCCACACTCTAACCACACAGCCACCACCGTCGGTTCAATTCTTAAATAATAAAATCATTACTGTCACGTTGATTAGAAAATTTTGAAAGGGCCCAAAACAAAATGGCCCAAATTCTTGAATATCCTTCAATAGTGCGTAGATCATGAGAGATTTTACAGATGAATATCAACAAACATCATGATCATCATCTTGATCATTTTCTCAACAATAAAGAAGGTTCTTTAATGTTTCCGAATGAACAATTGTCAAAAATGTCAGAATTGGCAGATTACGTTTACCCATTTCCGAAGATATCTACAAATTCAGTCATAAAGTGAAAAAAAAACAATTAATCTCCCAACACCTCCCTGTAAACTTAATTAGTTTGACAAAGTGCGATATTACGAGGAAATGCCAAACAAAATTTTTCAATCGATCTGTCACGGTTTACAACTCCGTTTGGGAATTAAAAATCAATCCCTCCGACAATTCGTTCTGACCCATTCCTTTTCACCACTTCACAAACTCAACAAGAACCAAATATTACAGTCGGCAGATCAGTGTCCGGATTCTTATCAAGCCCTCCGACAAAACTCGGCAAGGACCCCAACAAGCAGCTGTGAGCAAGCGCCCACAGTAGTCCTCCGTGCAGAGTCATCATTACCAGATGCAGTAACTCTTGACAGACGTTCACGCACAGTCCTTTATAACATTCAACTGAGTACCAAAGTGGGCATGTGCACAGCCACTTGTTTCACAGCAGTTTTCAATTGATTACCGTTCCCTCCATGTAACTAAGTGGCGCTTGCCCTCGACAGCACCCTTTTATGCACGTGCCCGGTGGCTGAACCGTGTGGGCTTAGGTAGTGGATAAAATCTCTCTCCTTTGGATCTACTGGATTTGAGTAAAAGTGAGACACCGAGTGACTTTGAAGGAGTCTATTTCACTGCAGGATTGACAGTTTTTGTGCACGAAGAAAAACATGATGAAAATTGTCGGGAAGATATGGGCAAAAATTAACGAGCAGAATGGAAATGCACGGGGAAAAATAGTGCGGAAAAAGTACCACATTGTTAGAAAATTACTCTTGAAATTTCAAGTGAAAAAGCTTGAAATTTTCAACAACGACAAAGTTCCATGAAATTTCTGCGTATTTCTTCATTGACGAATCAGTTAATTTCTAGAATATTCAAGTTATTCTCGATTTTCAGGTCCATACGCCACAGAAAACCATGATGAAAATTGTCGCGAAGATATGGGCATAAATTAAATATTAATTAAAATTAAACTATTAATTAAATTAATTATTAATAGCGCGGAAAAAATACCACACTGTTGGGAAATTACTCTTTAAATTTCAAGTGGAAAAACTTGACATTTTTATCAACGACAAAGTTACATGAAATTTCTGCATATTTCTTCATTGACGAATCAGTTAATTTCTAGAATATTCAAGTTATTCTCGATTTTCAGGTCCATACGCCACAGAAAACCATGATGAAAATTGTCGCGAAGATATGGGCATAAATTAAATATTAATTAAAATTAAACTATTAATTAAATTAATTATTAATAGCGCGGAAAAAATACCACACTGTTGGGAAATTACTCTTTAAATTTCAAGTGGAAAAACTTGACATTTTTATCAACGACAAAGTTACATGAAATTTCTGCATATTTCTTCATTGACGAATCAGTTAATTTCTAGAATATTCAAGTTATTCTCGATTTTCAGGTCCATACGGCACAGAAAAACATGATGAAAATTGTCGCGAAGATATGGGCACAAGTTAAAGAGTAGAATGGAAATGCATGGAGAAAAATAGTGCGGAAAAAATACCACACTGTTAGGAAATTACTCTTTAAATTTCAAGTGGAAAAGCTTGCCATTTTTAACAACGACAAAGTTACATGAAATTTCTGCATACTTCTTCATTGATGACTCAGTTAATTTCTTGAATATTCAAGTTATTTTCGATTCTCAGGTCCATGCAGCACTGAAAAACCTTGAAAATTTTGGAAATTCAGGCAACAACTTTTCTGAATTCTCAATCTATTGAGAATTGAATTGTATGTGATGTTCAATTTTCACGATGAGTTTGGAAATTCAAGCTTTCATTGAAAAATCAATGATTGTTTAACATGGAAAACCCAATTTTCTTGAATTTTCAAGATAAATGAGAAGTTTAGTGAATACTTTCAGTTGATGTTTTGAGGTTTAATTTAACCTCACAACATCGAAAATTCAGTTGACGCTGTGACTGACATTTCAAGAAATTTCTAACAGTGCATGGAAATCACGTGAAAATTACGGTGTTTGAAGTGATTGTGATGTATCGCTATAGATTCACAGAAATCACTGGTCTCTGAGTGAATTTTTATGGAGTGTCGCGTAAAAATAGTTTTTGTCCATAAAATTTCCAGAACTCAAGATGAAAAATCTATTTTTTATTCCAGATTTTTTCCGGGTGCTCAGATAAAATTTCCGAAAACATTCTCCTTTAGACACAGGAATTCTATTAGAATTCTCCTCATAAATTCAATTTGTTTTTTGCGCTAATTCTATTAAAAATGATTAAAAATTATGGAATTCTTTTCTATAGGTATTTGTTTATAGAAAAAAATCTACAGATGTTGATTTTTCTATTGAATAGAATTGCTTAAACAGAGCGCTAGTTTTTTCTATCAAATCCTTTTATACGGGTAATTTTTAATATTGTGTAAATGAAGTGAAAATGCCGTAACAATTTTCGTTACACGCGTAATTTTCATGAAATTTTTTTCTCAGAAATTCTACTATTTCAGGGAGAATGACCTACAGTGCGATAAATTCTCCAGAATTTTTCTATGATTTTTTCCTCGGAGTACATTCCACTCTCCGAGCGACGATTACATTCGAGAATCGTATCTTTGATATTCAGTATGTTCACCTTCTCTCCATATTAATCATTCAAATATTCATGGGGTCATTGGGGAACCATGTCTAGGTCACCGATTCGTGACATTCCATTGAGGCGAGACTAATCCATCGATTATTATCCCTCAAAACATACAATTAAGCAATGATTCACGAATCTAAATCTACGGAGTTGCTCGGCTCTCCTATCTTGTTCACAGATATGTCCGAAGTATTTAAAAAACTGGGTAATTCTGGGTACGTTCACGCTATACGTGGAGACACTTGCGAAATTTTCAGGTGCAAGGAGGTCGGGGCTTCGAGCACTGCAAGGTCGATTGCACCACAAACACACAGCGACTTCCCGCGATAACATTCAGGCTTTTCCAACTTAACATGGGGCACTATCATTTCCACCGACCAATCTACCTAGTTCTGCAATAAAACCTTCTTTTTTTCTGGCAGCCAAAATCATCTTCATCTATTGTAATCATATAATTCAAGGATTTTTTCCGATAACCAGGTGCATGCGGGTAATAAAAGTCGTAATCGTTTATTGAATAGCAGTGTCATGAATGATTTAATGATGTCAGTGTATCATGTGGCGATGATGGAAAAAAATGGGATGATATTGTGAATCGATTGTTTTGAAATGGGCACAAAGTATCACGTAGCAACAAATTGAATGGAAAAACCTTTCGCTAGGAAATCGTACGATAAAAACTCAGGAACTTATGAATATGCAATAAATTAAGTCATTTAGATTTTTTTCCGGAAATCCGTAGGACCTAACTTTTGGGTGGTATTGTCTCGGGATATATATTAAATATGTGGGTTAACTAATGGGTCAGATACAGTGGAGGAGAATTTCTTAGAAACATTCGAGTGCTGATTGCTCTATCAATTAATTTCTGGTAATATTTGTAAAGATTTCTGGTCAAATTTCCGGGAGATTCGATGACTGTTTCACAAATCAAAAAAAAAATTTGAATTTATCATAGTTGTTTCTGAAATTTTTTCTATAATTTCAAATATTTAATATCTTACCGAACATAAATGAACACAGATAAACATGAATATAATTAAAATAAAGACCAATGGTTTGATTTTGTCAAATAAAATCAACCCGAATGAGAAAAAAAAGTTGGAGAAAACAGCTTCAAAATCACAGAAGAAGTGCAAAAATTTAACATTATCCATTTTTTCATTTTATTGTATCTTCAATTTTATGGATAAAAGAACTGGACATTGCCCGAGGGCAATGTCCAGTTCTGAAATTTCTACTCGAATTTGTAAAAAATGTGAGGTGAAGGACAACTTTTCCCATTCGTAAAGTAACTTTTGGCGAACGAACAGTAAAATTTGTGAGCTGTTGACATAGATTTGTGAAACTTTCATCGAAATACGAGAAGAATTCACGTGTTCTCTAATTGAATTTCCAGCATTAAAATTTCTCTCCCATGACTTTGCACCCTTTTCCCATTGCTAGCATCTGAATTTTTAAAAGAAAATTTGGAATATGCGATCATCGCCAATTACTACAATTGTATTATTGTACATCAACTGTTGCGACTTCGTGAACTTGAGAGAGTTGACCGAAGTCCTCTACCATTTTCACCAGGATCGAAACTGTAGAAGTGATTTATCTTGTCGTCAACATTCCACTTCACGTTTTGAGTCAAACTATTTACCACTGGCTCACGAATCTTCGCATCTGTTCCATTGACACTCACGACAATCACCCACTGTACCTCAAGGAGGTGAAGCTCTTCATTAAGATTTTTTTGAAATGGGATTTGAATGAAAACTACCTTTTTTATGGTAAATATTATTAGAACATTAATCTTTCATTTGTTTTAATCATTTCCAAATCTTTTTTTACTCTGACTTTTTATTGATCTCTGATCGACCCCTCGTCAACCCCTTGAATTTCTCAATTTTAGCCTTTTTTCTATGCACACCACTATGCCCCGGCCACCCCTCTTTGCCCCAGTTTCCTTTTCCTTTTTGGTACTGCATCTCAGTGTTTTTTTCACTCAAACTAAACAACAACCAGTTTGTGGAAATCATAAACTTTTTTTCTCCGTGTTGAGTCGTAAATACGCATTAGTCACAGGTGATTGTACATTCTCTCCTTTTCCTCGATTATTAATTCCGTCACTTCTGAATGTTAAACGACATCTCATTCTTCACCTGTGTATATTCCTTCAATTCTGCTGTACTCCACTTATCACACAATGGATGGCACCAAGTTACTATGACATTGTTGACTCCAAAAATTCTTAACAATAAAAGGTCTCCACGGAATTAAAAAAGCCATTAATCCTTTGTTCTTCTTGATCATTTCAAGTTTCATTTATTCATAAACGATACAAAATATTGTCATAAATACGTATTATCTACAGAGGTAGTTTGAGTATTAACAAGTTAATGGCACAGTCTCCACATTTTACAATCTCTGAATTATTATTAATGAAAATTATTCATGCATTAATAACATTCTGTGTTCCATTGAAATCGATGTTGTAGTCTTTCAGGACATCGATGACATCGTCGTATAAAAATCTTCCAGTTTCGTTGAGGAAAAGAAAGTCGAGGTGACTGAATTTCGAATGTTGAATTTCTCTCACTGTTGTTTTTGATAATTTCTTTCTCACCGCATCGATATCCTGCAACGATCAATAACAATCAAACATCCAAATATTCACAGCGTATTCGTGCGATAGAAATAATACAAACCGTTTTCGTAGTGAATGGATCGTTCGACGCATAGTAGAGATAACATGGAGCTGATATTTTATCAAGTGGATATTCCGGTGGTTTTAAACTCTGATATTTGAATAAATTTCCCATCGGTCCAAAATCAAATTGTTGAAATTTTCCTACAAATGCAAACAAATGTGTGAATAACCTGTGTCAAGTAAAGTTTTTGACAGGAAAATCATTGAGTGTGTTAGGGATAAGAATAGAACTCCTTGGGCGCTTTTAAACCTAGTCTAGTCACCATACGCGATTCTGCGGCTTTGGCCACCTCCACGGGGATTCCCCGTCGTATTATTCAGGCCCGGGCGTTGCCGAATTCACTCTACGCTACCCGGGCGCGCTTAGCGAGTTTGCGGCGACGTCGCGTCATGGGCAATTCATTTAAGATACTTCCTCAATCACTTATACCTGGTAGAAATTTTGCAATGTACTGAAGACGTAAAATTTGGATCATATTTTGTTGAGCACATTCAAAAACGATTCCCAAAATTTTAAGTATCGCTTCCACGCCAACTTTTAAGATATCCATCGTCAAAAATTGAAAAAACACAAAAATTGAATGTTTGACGATGCATATCTCAAAAATTGCCGTGGAAAACATACTTGAAATTTTGGGAATCGTTTTTGAATGTGCTCAACAACATATGATCAAAATTTTGCGTCTTCAGTACAATACGAAATTTCTACCAGCTATAAGGGACTGAGGAAGTACCTTAATATGGGGAAAAAAATTCATCTGTCCGAAATAATTCGTTTTCTTTAGGAATTTTGGGAAATATGTTGTTCTAAAAACTACTATAATTATTATAATAAAGTCAATTTTTTTTTAATTTCTCCGGTTAGCCAGTCGATGGCAATTAAAGAAAAACGACGCGCTGCGGCGTTTCCCTCATATAGTGATCAATAAGTTTAACTTGGGGATAAATTTCCCTACAGTGGATAGATCCTGGAATACGGTGGAGTAATTAGTGGGAAATATGGGTATTTATTACTTATAATTATTAATAGAGGTATTGATCTACTCGAACTAACTCATAATTATGCAAAACGGATAAATATGAAATGATCACAACATTGAAACAAAAAGTATTTTCAAAAAAAAATTTCTTCTCGTATACCCCTTCGGGTCTTTACGATTTGTTCCCTTCCCCCCCCTCAACCCCCTGTACCGCATTCGCCGAAAGACAAGGGAAAACCTCATTTGAGGGAAAAACCTGCCCAGGTACAGTCGTCTCTTGCGGGACTCCCGCTCGACAATGAAACCGTGAGATGTAGAGTATCACAAATTTTGGCCCCTCCCAGCCGGGAATCGAACCCGGGTCTCCCGCATACCAATCCCACACTAACCGCACAGCCATCGTCGTCGGTTTGAAACAAAAAGTATGAAACTCGATTTTACATTGACGACTGAACTCCCGAATAGTCACGAGTCTAGCTTATATAATAATTAAGCATGTCACGTTACGACATTGGTAAACAGTGTTGCACATGAGCGTTGATTTAGTAAAGCAATGAGTGAAGTAAGTTCAACTCAATTCATCCTTCAACATCCTTACTTTTGTCAACAAACTATTACTTAATATAACAATATTATTCTAGGGCATAACAAGTGAAGAATATCATGGTAATGTCAAATCCAACAAATTATCCTAACGTTTTCTCCAGAAAATTTGAAATCTATGGGAAATACTATTCTTTTTTTTTTAATTGCTCTTGGAAATTCAGTACCTGCAATAGTTTGCATAGAAATATTTGGATGCTTCTGTACAGTCTCTTTTACTGACTTTTTTCTGTAAAAATCTCTCTGCATGAATTTTAATATTTTTTTCTTCTAATATTTCTACAGAAATCGTTTTCCATAGATTTCCGATAAAATTTTTCAGTGAATGCGCTAGATTTTACTCTTGGATTTTTTCATACATGTCACATCGGGCAAGATTGCTTACAGCGTTTCATTTTTCATGCAAAAAATCTCAATTGCACATGATAAGGTTGTTGTTATATTGTTGTTATACTAACCACTGATCGTTATTTGTCGATAATGAATGAATGTGTCCATAGACGTTCCTTGAGGGTAATGATTCAGCAAGCGCGGCAGCATTGTCTGATAATCATGGAAAAGTACATAAAATCAATCAACATAATTACAGAGAAAGAGCTCATTTGCAGTCCAATGACTCTTCCCACACTTTCGCAAAGAAAGAATAAAATGTCATGGAAATTGCAGTGGTAATTTACAGGACATTGAAGCAACATCGTATGACGCTATTAAAATTATTTAAATGACGGGGAAAATAATGAAATATCTAATTTCACTGAAAAGTCAATGGAATTCCAAGTTTTGGGGAGCAGAAAGACGAGAATTCCCAAAAATACTTGAATTTTTAATCAAAACATGACTGTTCAGCACTGAATTAGGCCGAATTATTAATTAATTAAAAATTTAAGAATACATTTATCTGAATTTTCATGATTCCTACGAATCTTTACGAGATATTGAACTGAAATTTACACTTCCCATAGATTTTTTACTAAATTCTCAACTGTCAGTGACAAAATTCATTCAAATTTCAGTGAAATTGTCACGTGATGAAAATTTCTCAGAAGTGTACGGAAATTACAACCAAGAATTTTCAAACATTCTTCATGACATTGACATTTCCCAGAGCATAATTATGAATAATCAATTAAACATCATTAATACCAAGATCTCAAAGAGAGAGAAATGATTGAGTGTCTCACAATATCAAACGCCTCGAAGTTAGTCAAACCGGTGAGATACTGCACTATTGTCTGGCAAATTGATTGGGTGCTCCTGCTCTGGCACAATCTCGCATAACTGCTCATGTTGAGAGAATTTCGAGGAAAGAGTTCGTGTCGATTGAGCAAACGAAGGGCTTCCTGTACCAATCAGTGAGGATACATAATTATTCAGTCGTGCGAATTCAATTCTCCAACAATAAAATTAATGGATAAACCTCGATTTGATTCCCGTATCGAATTCCAACGGTGGGGAAGAAACCGGGAAGAGTGTGCGTGATAATCGCCACTGGTGCCCACAGCAGGACCACATTCACCTTCAAATTGTACTCAGGTCGTTTTGATAAAAGAACCAGTTCCACTGTGCCACCCATTGAGTGTCCCACCAGGGATACTTGGGACTGTCCAGTTAATGATAACATGTAGTCGATTGTTGCTGCTGTATCGTAAGTTCCGACTTCGTGCCAACTGGAAGAAAAAATTGGCAAAGGAATTTATTCGTTCGGCTTGATTATTCACATCACATGGAGGAAAACACGAAAAATCACCATACAACGCAGATAATCGGAGAACAAAATGGCATTTTAGGAATTTTATTTATTTATTTATCATTTTTATTTTTAGAGCATAAAGGACATTGTCCCCTTTGTAACGTAACTTTGGGCGAACGAACAGTAAAATTTGTGAGCTGTTGACATAGTACAAGAAAGGTGAATAAATATTATCGAATGTTCAGCGATTTTGTACGGCACATAGTTCAGTAATTTTTATTTCATTTTTCGTGGAACTTCCCGTTAATTTGTTTCTTCCTGTAGTCGATCGGGATTTGGGACTTTTAATTGAAAAATGATTCGTAAAAAAAATTCCGCTCACAGCACTAAACGTTCGATTAGTTGAATTTATATAATTTTTTCCACAATTTCAATTATTTAATATCTCACCGAACATAAGTGAACACAGATAAACATGAATATAACTAAAATAAAAACCAATGGTTTTATCTTATCAAATAAAATCAACAGCAGCAAAATCACAGAAGTGAAAAAATTAACATTATCAATTTTTTCATTTTATTGTATCTTCAATTTTCTGGATAAATAGTACTAATTACTGACTGAAAGCCCTCGGGCAATGCCCAGTTGTGAAATTCGTACTCGAAATTGCAGAAAACATGTGAGGGGAAAGAGAACTTTTCACCTTCGTAACGTAACTGTTCGCGAACAGACAGTGAAATTTGTGAGCTGTTGACTTGATGCAAAAAAGAGGAACAAATGTTATTGAATATTCCGCGCATTTGTACGGTACATAGTTCACTAATTTTTACTACATTATTCGCGGAATTGCTCGTTAATTTTTTTCTCCCTGTAGTCGATTGGGATCTAGGACTTTTAATTAAAAAATGATACATAAAAAAAACTCGGTTCGCATCACTAAACGTTCGATTAGTTGAATTTATGCAAACTTTTCCACAATTAAAAATAAACATAAATATAATTAATATAAAACCCTTTAGTTTCATTTTATCAAATAAAATCAACCCGACTGAGAACACGCGTTAAAGAAAACAGAATGACGTTAAAAACTAAAAAGAATAAAAAAGCCCTGAAAAACGAATAAAATTTAAACACTCAGTACCATTAGATAAAGCGATGACACGAAAAGATCTTGAAGTCGAAAAGAAATGTGGCTAATTTCCATAAAACCAATTTTGCAGCGTTCAATTATCACTAAAACAGGTCTTTAAAAAAATGTGCCACCCATCCCAAACTCCGAGTTAACTGGACTCATCTCATTTTACGACTTCGCTACCAAATGATCCGTTAGATTTTTCATCAAACCTGAATCTCCAAAATTTTGCGTCATCCGGGGACAGCCTCTCGTGCCGCCTCGAGTAAAAGTTTCCGCGTGTGTTCAGTGCCCAGACATCATAGCCCTCATCAACCAGCATAAAAGCTGCAAGCGAACGTGACGATTCCCCGATTAAATCATGATTGATCAATTTTTATCACTTCTAAAACCCACTCATCCAGACTTTACCGAGATCCCGTCCAGCTCCTCGCAGGACCCAAACGTCGGACGCCGCGAGGAGTCCATGAAGCAGAAGAACCGCAGGTTTTCCATTAGCAGCGGGTGCCTTCGGACCACTTGTTATTCTATGTACCGACAGTATATACCCATCCTCGGTCGTAACATCATGCTCCTCCGCTTCATATCCGGCTTGAGACACTAATTCAATCTAAAATCAATCAAGGAAGAGCTTACTTCCTCCAGTCTGCAATTTAACCCCGGAAATAACTTACAAACGTCTCCACATTATCCTTCACCACTTCGTTATCGGAGATTTGTCGTTGTCGTAGATGCCGTTGTGTATTGAAATAGCTGCTCCTATTGAACTTTGTATTCCTAGACCCGGCAAATCGCGAACTAACGGATCCAATCGACAGAATGGCCACCAGAACAAGGCAGCCCGTACCATTCCGCATTGCGAACTTAGATGAGCGTTTATCATCAATAGTTAATGGCCACTATACACACCGACTATTTATGTCACTTTTTTCTCCTACCCCTGCCTGCCATCGTCGGCCTTTATTGTTTCGCTTTCTCAATTCTTCAGGTCCAATGTTGTTGCGGGATGGTGGTTATCCTTTTGTTGTCAACCTTGACCAATGATCAAGTAATGAAGAACACAACACGTGTAGCACTCAAAAATTCATGTATGAAAGCTAGTCTACAGGGTTGAGTAACATCAGTTATGTGTCCTCGGAAGATAAAGGCTTATCCTTGACTCCACTTTGTTTTTTTCTTTCTTCACATCGGAGACAAATTTTCTACTCGATATTTGTTCCCCTCTTTTTTGGCAATTGATTAAATGGATAAGCGGTAAATGTCAAGCATTTCGAATTTCTACTTTTCCTATCTCTTCATCGTGTCGAGCCTGGAAGACACGCAGCGGGTATAGTGGCTCCAACACTTCTCCGTCAGTGTCTGACTGGGTGACCATTGTATACGGACTTGGAATGATGCCAAGCGCATACATAATGAGCCAAGTTAACTGGTTATAAGAGTAGCGTCATGAAGGGAAGAGACCCTGGCTATTGGTATTCGTGGCATTTACATAATTTTAAGGTGGACGGTAGCGAAGAAATTGGGGAGAGCCCTCTGACGCTCGGATCTCCGAGGATTTATGGGTTTTCTAGTGAATGCTCAGTCAAACGGAACTCATGTTCGAATTTCTTTTTTTTTTCTTACGTAAATGTGAGTCATGCGGTTAACTATTCACAACGGTTTCGCGGACGAGTTCAAATGCATTATTGAACATTTCGTGCCGGTGCATGAGTTTAGGGGGAATTCTGTCTTATGTTTATTCTGTTGCGTCAATTGGTTAATTTAATTCACGTTGAAAATGAATGTTGATGTGATGAATCATCAATTTAGTGAATAAACTCGGGAATTATTGTTGCAATCGGCGGGGGATGCAGAGTGTTTATGAAGGCAGTGAGTGGTGTTTACTATTCAAATGAGACGTAAGTACGAATTTACATTTGAAATTTAAAGGTCTCGACGTTATCGATGGGGAAACGGGAATTTTTGAAATTCCGGGGGCTCGAGGCGCGCTGCTGCTGCTGGGCTCCTCCTGGCGCATGCGCAGGAACAACCGCTTTCTTTCTCTGCGTTTTGTCGAAGAAGCGACATGGTGTGTATCTTTTTGTTGAAATAATAATCCGTATTTATCAGTGACATCCTAGGTTTTTTAGCGATAAATCGGGCAATTGTGGAATTAGTTGTTGTTAATATTTGTGTTTTTGTTTTTCAGTCGGCTCACAAGACGTTTATCATCAAGCGAAAGCTTGCCAAAAAGTTGAAGCAAAACAGACCCATCCCACAGTGGGTCAGAATGAGGACAGGAAACACAATCAGGTGAGTTTTCTTTATTTCAATTCATTTGATACTGAATTTATTCCATTAAACTTTAAAAAAATGGGTTTAATTGTTCAGCAATTTAGTCCAATTTCTTTCCATGGGATCGGACAAAATTATCCATTGTTGTGTAAATTTTTGAGGTTAAGTGCATTTAAGGTGAGACCGCACTGAAATTGAAAAATCGCAGGGGCCTTTATTAATCGGGCAAATGAGTTTACTACTTCAGTTTTAATGTAAAAAAATAAGAAAAAATTGAGCTTTGATTTTTTTCCTTGATGGAAATTTTAAAAGCACATAACACAATTCTCTAACGATTAACTTGAATTTTGATTCACACCTTCAAATGAGGTTTTTTGCAAATCTTCATTTTTTGGGTTTTTTATTTTTTTTTCTCGAAATTGCTGCAAGTGATAAATTTGAAAAATTGTTGAAATTGAAGTACACAGTGAATCATTGCAGAATGCATTTTTTCATCATTTTTTCATTATATTCTGAATAAATGATTAAAAAATAGATGATTAAAAAATATTGCTACTTCAATGATTCTTGATGTAGTTGAATACTATCTATTTTTAGAATTTTTCCCTTCAGCCACTTTTGAGAAAAAAAATCCACAATCTCAAAAGATGGAAGCGTTAAAAAAAGCTCATTTAGTTATGTGTGTGGACCGAAAATTGAGTCAACCGGTTGAGAATTACATCATGAGAACACGTGAAGATTTTGTTCCTCTAAAGCCTCTTTCTGATTAACAAAAAAATCAAAATTTAATTTTTTTTTATTAAAACAAGTGTTAAACTCATCAGCATGACGGCCCTTATAATGATAATGATAGCATTTCACATATTTTCTGAGTATTAAATTGCTTCAATTACTTTTTCTCCTCTCTTATCGTAATAAAAATTGATGTGTAATCCAATTTTTAATTAACTATAAATTCTGAATTTTTTGTTTAGATACAACGCCAAGAGGCGTCACTGGAGGAGAACCAAGTTGAAGCTGTAAGCTATCAACTACCTGCTACCTACCAACATCAATATGTCAATCTCCACCGTGTCAGCTTGCTGGATTCAATAAAAATACAATAAATCCTAAATTTTTTTTCTAATCATTTTATTCAAGTCCACCCTTCACTCTGTTTTGTACACCTTAAATTATCATTCAAAAATTACGAAATAACTGAATTACATCGAGTTTCCAATCTTACGCTTTCGCATTTTCTCCAGATAATTATCGAGAAGCTCGTCTGGGGTCTTGGGATCGTTCAGATAGTAGTTTTTCGGAGGGGTTCCCTCTTCGAGGCGAACATAGTAGTGGACGTATCTGTAGGTTATTTTACCCACTCGTGCTTTTGCATGTCTTCTTATTCCGTGGACAACTTTTCCTTTTGTTGCGAAGGATTCGGCTAGAATAAAATTTATTCTGAAATATTCATGGACTTGACGAAGAAAAAAATATCATGACGAGCTGGGGAGAGATCAAAATTATTCGTGAACGAAATTTGAATCATTGAATTACCAAATAACGTGCATTTTATTTTATTGATTGTATTATCCAACTACGGGCATTTGATGTATGGGGTATCGGGATTATGTAAATAAACGACTTATTTTCAAATTAATATATTACTGTCGCCCGGTGGCTTGGCGCAGTGGGTAAGTTCGTTGCCTCACATGCGAAAGATTCCGAGTTCAAATCCCGGCCGGGTAGAGTGGTGCGATCTAACCATTTAAAGTCTTGATCATCATCGCAGTATACCTTAACCGGGTCAAAGCGATGTAAAATAACGATAAAAAAAAATACATATATATATATATATATATATATTACTGTCAAATTAGTAATTGTCGTTTAGTACTTAAACTATTGAAAAATTACTCTTGAAATGTCATGAGATTGAAAACTCACGTGAAATTTTTACATATGCTATTACTGACAAATCAGTTAATTCTTGGAATATTCAATGAAATTTGTATTTTCAGCTCCATATTGCAATAAAATTCGTGAAAATGCAGCCAATTTATATGAATTCACAACATTGGAAATGTAAATTCAGTTATAACTTAATTCAACAGTTTCTATCAGAATAAAATTCTTCAGGTTCTGGACGTCAAATAATAATCAAGACGCAAAATATAACTAATTTTTGTTTCTGTTTAGCTCCCAGAGCTTGAAGAGGGTTAAATATCCATCGAAATCAGTATTATTTGAATATTTTGAATATGTTCCATCATTTATACTCACCAACCCAAAGATTACTTTTGAATTCAACATTGTGTTTCTCAACAGCCATCTGTTGTGCCTCGAGAATTGTCTCCTTAGCAGCAACAGCTCCCTTCTTCAAACAGAAACTTAGTTGCTTCACAGCCTCGTCAACAGTCATTCCACGTACAAAACAAGCTATGTACCACATGTTTTTTGGGCTGTATTTGATGTTAGCTTTTACATTGCAAACGTACTGAAATCAAAATTCAAACGAAATTTTAATTGACTTCAGTTAATTGACTTTCATTTTTATGATTGAACAATTTATTCAAAATTCATTGATTAATTCAATGACATTGAGAGACAGAAAATAAATCAAGATCGAACGACCAGTAATTTTTTTTCAAAAGATAACTTTTTTTTCTTGAATATTTACGATTCAATGAAAAATTATTAATAATAAAACTTTCTCAAATTTGAGTTAAGTGCGATATGTACACTTTTGACTATTTTTTTAGCAATGTTCAAAAAGCTGAAATAAACAAATCAATGGAGATCAGTCTAGGGCCATAAAAATGAAGAAGAGTTGTATTTTCAATAGAAAGACAAATCCGGTGGCCTGGCGTAGTGGTTAAGGCCGTTGCCTCACAACGGATAGGTTCCAGGTTCGATTCCTGGCCGGGTAGAATGGTGAGATCTAACCATTTTTAAAGTCTTGATCAATCGCCATATAGTCTCATCAGACTCGAAGCGATATAAAATAAGCATAAAAAAAAAAAAAAAGAAAGACAAATTATCCCATTTCATCAAGAAGTCGATGAGTCTTCAACCTTTTTTAAAAAAAGTCAAGTGACCATTTTGCCCGGTAAGTCCCTATCATCGAATAAAATTCGAGAGAGACTCGGAGCACGTCTAAAAACTTCGTCAAAAAAACTTCGTTGAAAAAACCTGGTGACATTCAACTTGGGAAAGCGAACTTTTGGTTAATAGAACTTTTGTCAAATTGAACTTCCGTCAATAAAACCTTTGGATTATCTTGTCTTTTGTAAGAATATAGGTAAAATCTGTGTTTGTATTTGGAATTTCAGTGTTGTTATTCGTTTTGTTTGGTTCCTTGGGAAGGGAATAATCGACATTCCTCATTCATTTAATTGAAATGGTATTTTCTTGGCAAGAGGAAATTGAGTTGTAGTGCGAAATTTTTTTTTCATTTCATCAGTAGTTCCTGATTGTCCGTAGGGATTGTATACGATGTTTTGTATTGTAATCCGTTTGATTTTTTTTGCCATTTTTGCTTCCGAATAGAAGCTTTGTAATCGTTCGAATTTAAATTTCCAAATTTTTGTTTTGTTGTTCGGTTTTTTTTCTTCAAGTTTCTTTTGTTACCGAGCTGTTTTGATGAAGTTCTTTTCCCAGAAGTTTTCTAGACATGGACCCAATTCACGCGATCACTGAAATTCATCGAATCCTATCCATTCCAATACTGAATGAAAAATAACTCACAGCAGGTCTCCTAGGTTCTCCTGGTGCCTGTGGAGGAAAGATCTTTTCATTGTATTCCATCCAATGCTTGGGCCCATCATAATCGTCTTCATGATCCTCATCCTCATAGAGTCTTGCAGGGGTCGTGTGGATACTGGAGGCTGGTGTTACCGTTGTCCTAGTCAATGTCACGTTGTTCACATTGAATTTACAGGTGGACGTCAACGTCTGAATGCATCTCCTGAGGCTTTGCATTTTTATTTCCCTAATAAAACGATTATTCCAATGTAAACAAGGGAATAACAAGTACTGTACTCGCAAATACACAACAATATTTTCAATTTGAAGGCCTTAGGCTCAAAAAAATGGATGGAATTTTAAATTGGATAGTAGTCTAGTCATCATATTTTCATTTTTCGAAACTGTCAGCCACTTTTTGTTGATTATTGATCAATTATTGAGGATTATAATAGAATACCTTGCCGAACCTTGCACACAATAACCTCAAAACTCCTTTCAATGCTCCAGAATTGCACCGCAGCGCCACCAGAAAGCGCTCCAATTGAATTCCCATTCAATTGCCCACGGGGTTTCGTTGTAAAAATAAAGATCCGATCAATTAGCTCCTCATGTATAGATATTCCAAATTTTCATTTTTTTCCTCATTGAAGTAGTTTTGAAGAAAATTGCGAGCTAATAAAAAACATTTGCTAGTTAGTACTTTTTTAAAAATAAATTTTTGAAAAAGCACCTCTGAAAAAAAAGACGTTATCCCCTCTATTTCATTATTTCCAAAAAATTTTATCACCAATCGATAGCAAATTGTTTGAAGATTTTTGCGAGTTAAGAAAAAATCGTCAATGCAACCCTATTATTGTGTAAATTAACAATTCCAATTTCAACTGAAAACCAGAGTTGATGACCAGAGTTTGTAACAGAGATGTCAGACAAGATATGAATGTTTTTTTTNCCGTGTCTACAACTCGGGCCTTCAATTGAAACGCTTTTTTTTCAGAGGTGATTTTTCAAAAATTTATTTTAAAAAAAGTACTAACTAGCAAATGTTTTTTATTAGCTCGCAATTTTCTTCAAAACTACTTCAATGAGGAAAAAAATAAAAATTTGGAATATCTATACATGAGGGGCTAATTGATCGGATCTAAAAATAAAACGTCAATTTGTAAATGTTGACCGGATAAAGGGGTCTAGCCCTTGTTTCACGTCATTTCATCTGCGACGTCATTTACTTACAAATTTAGGACAACGGTAAAATAGCAATTCAATTTCTTAACATCTTTTGAAGCATAAAATCCCGTCCAATAATCGTCCAAAAAAATTAAATAGAAAAATGCTGATAGAAGTTCTATTCGACTTCTATTGAAAATCCTATTAATTTTCCGTCGCTTCTATTGAGAAATTCCGCAGATTTTCCACGCGGTTTTGTAAATGGAAATTTTCAATAGAAAATATTTTATAGAAAAGAATTAATAGATTTAGATCTTCCTATACAACTTATTCTATTATTTTTTTCTAGATATTTTCTATTGAACAATTTTATTTAAAAAAAACTCGTGTAGCAAAAATAATTAAATTCCTCCATTCGTGTAACGGTCGAATCTCGAAGAAAATATCACTGCATATTTCGTTGATAATTCATTCAGCTGTAGAGAATATCCTTGCACAATCTCCTGAATCGAATATTTTAAAAAATATGAAGAATAAAATACAAAACTTATTCAATTCGAATTTATTAAAAAAACATAATGCAAACCATGTCTGTTTCACATGAATATTGTATAGAAAAAATATAGACATTCGGCGATTAAATCGATGGTAGAAAACAATGAGATAATTACGTCTTTATTTTACACGGCTATTTGATTTTGAAGTGGAAAAAGGCAGTAGGGTATTGAATAACTAAAGGGACGCAACAAAGAAACAAATCCAAACAGTTTTTTCAACACATATTTCCTTCATTATTATTTGCTCCTTTTTTTCATTCAGTATTAAAAAATTTCTCAGTACGCAAAAGTTTGTTTTAAAACAGCAGCAACATCCAGAATTCCACACATGGATTTAAGGAAGGGAGGGATCGTTTCGAAGATTTTTCTATGCATGACCTGTAATCGAAGAGACGCACGATACGTGCGATGGTTAAAGATGTAATTGTTCCATTTCTTCCTAAATTCTCTAGTTCTTTTTTTACATTTTTCTGTTTTTTTTTTAATAAAAAGAGATGTGGAAACCTGGTTTATATCAAATTGTACATCTTCTTGGCAATTAACAAATCAAGGGATTACGACAGAGCGCGTGGGATCATAATTTGTTTTTTTTTACTGCTGTTTACACTCAACGGGATGTTTTTCCTGTAGTTTCCCACCTGATCTTGTCTCGTTCTTGCCCGATGGCTCTTCGCCCTCGTTCTCCTCGTCATCGATCTCCTCGTCTTCCTCGTCTTCATCATCATCTCCCTCGTCCTCCTCGTACTCATCGCCTTCATCCTCGAGACCTTCGCCTAATTTTAAACAAATTAGGGGGTCAGTTTTTGCCTTCATCATAGGAGAGCTATTTTTTTTGATAAATTGACAATATGCTATCGAATGGGCGTTTTGCGAATCTGTTTTTCATAGTATTTTCTTTCATATTATTTTCAACTGAATAATATTTCTTTCTACGAATTAAACAATCGTGTTAGATTTTCGATTCATTCGCAGCTACTAGAGAAAATAGTATTGAAAAAACTTAATAATATTATTGAAAACTGAATCAATTTAAAACATAGTATTTAAATAATAGTCGGAAAATGAATTTAAAAAAAACACGCGTCAAATCATTTTCCCATAGTATATCGTTTCCCACTATTATTTTCAATCGAAAAAAATTAAAATTCAATTCAAGGAAAACTTTTGAATCATAATGGGTTGAAATAACGAAAAAAATGAAAAACTTAAATTTAAACAATTAAAAAGCTTTCATTCGGTAGCGAATTATCAGCAACAAGGGGAGGATCATAATACCTGTGTAGTAGAGTACAGCACGAGGGACAATTCTTTCCCTAATGTAATGTCCAATCTCGAAATCACTCGTGAGAAGTGCCTGGATGTCGTCATCCAATTCAGCCTCACGATCATCTGGAACTATTAAAAACAATTGAAGCTTTGTAACTCTCGAAATTCCTCAGCATTCGTTAGTTTCAATCCCCAATAAAAAAAAAGAAAGAGAGCAATCTCCACGTGTCGAGGGCTATTTTCAAATTCAAAATGGCACCAATTCATTAGTAATCTCCCAACGATATTCAACAACCGGAAATCAGATGACGTAATTACCGAAAAGAATTCGGGCCAATGAGACTTACCAACTGGTGGTGAGAAGAAATTGAAGAACGAATCGTTTTGCACAGTCTTGGTGACTGTGCGCATATGGCCCCTGGATTTGTGTTTCTGATTTTTCTTGATTGTTTTAACTGTTACATTCTTTCCCTTCTTCCAGTCAATGGTACAGCCAGTGCTCTTATAAATCTCTGGCCCCTCGAAACTGAATGGATCATTCTTCTCTGGCACGCATTTCATAACGTATTCCTTGGTCAGGACTGAATTGGAGAAGTATTCGTTTGGCTCAAAGTGGAACTCAAGAATGAAACCCTGGAAACATTCAAAAGAACCCAGTGGAATAAACAAATCCATATAAACATACTCGAGCATAAAATCAGCAATGATTTTATCAAATTCGATGATCACTTCTCCTTAGTATGAGATTTCATTTTGGATGAGTGTCACAATCTATCTGAAGATATTTCAATACAGACTGTTAAAAATTTTTGACTGACATTTCCAGTAGAATCTGGAAACTTTTCAAGGAATTTCCATCGATTTCGTTACGGAAAATTGACAATTTCATAGAAAAATCAATGGCATCTGTGAGTTTCATTTCAATTATTTTGTGAATATGAATAGGATCGTTTGTGAAATCTTAAATTTCATGATTTTTCTTCTCCCTACATCATTTCTATTTTTCTCCAACAGTCTAAACTCATCAATGAAATAATGAGATGATCATTTCCCCTCACAATTGAAAGTTATAAAAAATATTCTAATATACTCATCAATGAGTTCATAAAACCAAATTATCATTTCCCCGCAGCATTACACTACTTGTTTTCTAAATATCTCCAGATAGGATAAAGTAACAAAACCCTCAGAGACTTCATCTGAAGAGTTTTCACAAAAAAGTCGCCCTCAGATTGACCCATTCACCAAAAAATCATCTGTTCTGAATGAAAGTTGCCTCATCACTCCCCCTCATGATTCTCCCAAACTCACCATTGGATTACTCTCCAAGAAAATGACTTTGATGTCATAAAGATTCTTGAGAATGGGTTCATCGTGCTCCTGCACCATTTCAGCAAGCATGCCCACATTCTTGAATATCGTCAGCCAAAAGTCAGGGATCCCCTTGACATTCTCATTCTCAGTCGTGTCCTTCTTCTCTTTGATCTCCTCGATTTTAACCTTATCCTTCAAGTCATTGGTGATACCCTCCTCTTCCTCCTCATCACTCTCCCACACGCACTCCTCATCAGTCGGCTCGTAAAGTCCCGCCACAATTCCACTCCTCTTCTCATAAAGATTGGACGACATCTTGTGGTACTTGCACTCCAGCGCATGCACCTCCTCGTAGAATTTAGCCTCGAGATTAACGGACAGCAACTGCAGCTGCTTGAGAGCCTTGATCCTGCGTTTGACTGGAGCAGGAAGATTCTGACGAGAAATAATCATTAGTGAATAACGGTGCAAATGAAGTATTTGTAATCAGGAAAGGAATGTACCTCCATAGCAGCACCAGCGTTGAATCGATTTTGCAGAGCTGCCAGGAGTCCAGGCTGATTCATTATACGATTAGCAAATCTCTCGTCATCATCCTCCACGGACTCCATATCGCTGCCCTCTGCTCTCTCTGGATCTGTCATGGCACTACTGACCATCAGATAACCCAGCGAAAAACAACCAAGGAGGGACAAACAAAATATAAAAGCCAAAAGAAAAGAAAATAAATAACTTGGAAAATCCACAGGGAAATCACAAAAACATCGTAATAAATAACAATCGAGGGAGAGTTATTTATTACGTTTACTCAATTCCAAAGACATTTTCTCAGCCCTGAGTCAGTCAAATCGTTTTACTCGGTTATGAAATATTTACGATTAAAGAATCTCCATTTCAGTAGTGAATTGGGCAATCGATTTAAGTCGACTTAGCTTCCAGTTGACTTTTTGTTGAATGACTCGGAATTTAAGAAAGCTTGCGAAATTTTCGTAATATCTTTTTCGATAGTCTTCACTTTTCTTTACAAAAAAGTATTTTAGGAAAATTATGCTAACTCCTTTAGAATGTGAGATATTCATCGAGAACTGGCGCTGGAATGGAATTGATTTGAACCGTTTGAGCACTTCACTACTGATTTTATCTCACCTCCCCCGAATAACCCTCAGCGCTTAAAAGTCAACTGTCAGGGAAAACAAAATATAAAAGCCAAAACAAAATCGCACTCGAGTGAAATTGATCGAGGTTTTTTCGATTCCAATGATATTTTCTCAGGCTCCAAAATGAGCTCTAAATATTTAAATTGTTTCACTCGGTCATGAGATATTTCCGATTGAAGAATCTCCATTTTACTTCACCTCCTTCGAATAACCCACCGCCCTCAAAATTCAACTGTCCATAAAACAAAAAAATTCCCTCGAATCGCATTTTTTTTTCAATTCCATGTGCCACGAAGAGATAAACGAAATATGAAGATAAGCGCAAATAAAATAAAATGAATAACTAGGCAAATCCACAGGGAAACCACTAAAAATTAATCATAATCAATCACGACCGTGGAAGAGGAGTTAAACGGACCATTTTCAATCATCAATAATTCGAGATTGGCAGGGTGAAATCGATCGATATTTCCCCAATTCCAAAGATATATTCTCAGGCTTCAAAATGAGCCCTGACTACTCAAATCATTTCATTCGGTCGTGAAATATTCCCAATTGAAGAAAATAAACATTCAACTGTCACGCAAAAAAAAATCCCCTCGAATCCAAATTTTTTTCAAATTCCACAAAATGAAAAAGCCAAAAGAAAATAAAACAAGTAACTAGGCAAACCCACAAGGAAATCACAAAAAATGAATCATAATCGTAACCATGGGAGGGGTAAATGGAGATTTTCAAACATCAATAACTCTCGATCGGCAGAGTGAAATCGATCGATATTTCCCCAACTCCAAAGATATATTCTCAGGCTCCCAACTGACCCCAGACTACCCAAATCGTTTCACTCGGTCATGAGACATTCCCCTCGAAGAATCTCCATTTCCTCTCGCCTCCCGCGTCCACCCTCGCCCTCAAAATTCAACTGTCACGCAAAACAAGAAAAAATCCCCTCGAATCCCAATTTTTTTTCAATTCCATCTGCCAACCGCCATGCCATCCCGCGAGAACAAAAGGTTATTGCCGATATATAGCGAGTACACCGGGGTCTCAAAAGTCAGAACAAAGACTCCAAACCCCCATTACACAAAACCCCCCAACCCAGATTGCCACCTCCTCCAAACCCCCAAAACCCCCAAAAATCCCCTCGATCAACCCCACTAAATAATCTCCCCAAATAATACAATCCAAGCTTCGCAAAAAAAAAATCGGAATCTGCGACTTGTTAACGCGACGTCTCCGGGCACATGGAGAACTGCCGAACGGCGAATCAATCACATTACACGCGTTTGATCCTCGAAAAAACCACGACACAACCGCAAACCCCCGCAATAACCCGTCGATTGAACGCAAGAAAAACCAGAAACCCCCGGAAAATAAAAAACCCACTAATTACGACTGATTAATCTCCAAATCGACTCACCTTTTTCGAGTCGTACGAAGCCGGACACAACGGGCTGCTGGTCTAGTCGCGAGGGAAGGGGATATGCGCGGACACGATAAACCGAAACGACTTCCGGTCTCCAAATTCCCTCCAATAAAGGCTCGTGTCCACAGTTGTCCCCAGAACTCCCTAGTCCAAAAACACTGCGCACACCGCAGTCCATGGGAACGCGCCGCTACCCCGTAATCCCTCTTTCCGATTGGCCCACCCACTTTTCCCCCAGACGTAGCCCCCAGAATCTAGTAACCTTGACGAACGCTCCGATTGTTTCCCATTTCTTCAACCTCAAAACTGACGCCATTTTTAAATACCGGTTGGCGATAGCCGGTTTTGCGTGAACTACGTGTTTTGTATACACGAGTTATTTTTATTTAACTAAATAATTGTCGTTACGCCTGACTACAACAACCAGCTATAACCACTGATAATTGTTCTTGATCAATAGTGATTAACAGTGTATTTTATTGACTCGAGGGATAATATTCGTGGATAACAGAGCGAGTGAAAAAAGCGAAGCTCTTGGAGTGATGCCTCTTTGGTTAGAATGATATACAACAGTGGCCCAAAATCATCAATTGTCGTTGCCCCGAGGCTCACTAATAACGTGAATAACTCGGTAAACAGAGAATGAGCGGGGAAACGAGGAGGGGTAGTAGATCGGACAGATCCAGGGAGGAGAGACTAAGAAACTTGAGGAGGAGTGCATCAGGCTCGAGTGAGAATGGCACGCGCTCACGATCGGGAAATGCTCCAGGTAAGGAGAAGAGAAACAGACCAACGAGACAGAGGAAAATGAGTTCTTCACAGTCTGTCGATGCATCCAGTGGCTCAAGCCTTGATCGTAAGAGGGGCGATGGGGGTAGAAATAGGGATTATCGTAATGGTGTCAGGCCAATGCACCAGGATAACGCTAATAATCGAGGTGGTGGTGGGTTCAGAAAACGGAGGCATTCACCTGGTCAGATTAACTGGCAGAGAGAGCAGTTTGATAAGCGTAGACAGATGTCTTCCAGGGGCCACTTTCAGCCACCGAGGTTTGATAATAGACAGGACAACAGGTTTAGGAACAATTCGTTCGGTCGTTTTCGGGATAGAAATTGGAAGAATCAGAGTCAGAGGAATTTTCGGTTCAATGATAGAAATCGTGAGAGATTTCAGGAGAGGAATAATGAACGTGGGGGACTGAACAGGAGGAGTCGGGGGGGAATTGCGAGTGAGGAGATGGGGCTGAATGATGCTGGGAAGAATCATAAGTTGGTGACATCGGCCTGGATCATGGAGAGTCCTGATAGGAAGAGGGAGAAGGACAGGGGAGGGGCCTTAGGCAGTGCTAAGGCTGATGATACCGTTGTTTCTTTGTCGCCTGATGTGAGGAACAGGAGCGACAGTCCAGGGAAGAAGAAGAAGATCAATCGATCGAGATCATCGTCGTCTTCTTCGTCGTCCAGTGAGTCGAGCAGTAGTAGCTCGACCAGCAGCTCGTCCAGCTCGTCGTCGAGCAGCAGTTCGTCGTCTAGCAGCTCGGATCGGGATAAGAAACGTAAGAAGAAGAAGAAGTTGTCGAAGAAGGCTAAGAAGGCGGAGAAGAAGAGGAAGGAGAAGAAGAAAAAATTGAGGAAGAGGCAGAAGAAGAAGATGATGAAGGCTGCTAAGGAGAAGAAGGTGGTGGGCGGTGAGAAGAAGTCGAGCAAGGACAGATTGATCAAGGATATATCGGTGGAAATTGCCGAGAAGTCCAAGTCTATGGCACCTATGACTAAGGAGGAGTGGGACAAGCGACAGAGTGTCATTCGCAGGGTTTATGATGAGGAGACTGGTCGGCACAGGTATATTTTGGAGATTATTTTTGGGAAGTCGGCTGCGAAGTGGTAAGACGGAATTAGTTATTTGAGGATGACGAAGACTGATATTTTTTTAATCGGGGGGAGATGAGGACTATTTTCTGGAGATATTTAGGAGAAGCTTTCGGGGAATTGATCCACTTGAATTGGAATTTTGAATGTCCTCAGCGGTAGAAAGTATTTCTGAATCTTTCGTCACGAAACAGTTGTTCTAGAGAAGAATATTTATACGAACTTCGTCAATTTTTAATGAGGAGTATATGTTTTTCTCTGATTAATTTTTTTATCTGGGGCCGATGAGAAAAGTTTTATGGAGATGTTTAGAAAAAACTTGAAATTGTGTGGAATTGATTCTCTTGAATTGGAATTTTGAATTTTCTCAGCTGCCAAAAGTGTTTCTGAACATTTCATCTTGAAGCAATTGTTCTAAAGAAAATTATTTTTACGAAATGAGTCAATTTTGAAGGTAAGATATATATTTTTCTTTGATATTTTTTTTTATTTCGGGGAGATGAGGTTCATTGTGTAGAGATGTTTAGGAAAAACTTGAAACTGAGGGGAATTGATTCGCTCCAATTGGAATTTTGAATTTTCCCAGCTGCAGAAAATTATAATTCCGTTTTATCACTTCGCCAGTGAATTCAGTCTGCTAAAATTACCTAAAAAATCTCATGAATCCATTTTTCAACGCAGATTGGTCAAAGGAGACGGTGAAATCATGGAAGAAATTGTTACCAAGGATCGCCACAAAGAGATCAATCGACAGGCATCACGTGGCGATGGTGAATATTTTCAATCACGTTTGAGAACAAATAAATGACTTAATTCTCTTTGTAACGAATTATTATTACCTAAGGATGAAACAAGATATGAAACATTATCGTGTAATTACAATGTTGTTCCAATCATTTATAAATCTAGAGCCTTTTCTCACGTTTTACCATTATTATTTCAAATTATCAATATGACATTATTTCAAACATGACAACGTCCACATGGAAGTATTATCACCATAATTCCATCATTTTCATTTTGTAAAAAATAGGGGAGGGAGTGTGTGTTTTTTAATAAAACTGAATGAAATGCGTCGTGTGTCCATCCCTGTAGATGGGATCGTCGGTTATTGGTGAACGGCAGAGGGGGCACGTTCTCTCCCTGTCAAGCCATATTGACACACAGGCCTCACAGAATATGTGTTTGCAATGGAGTTGAACTGGGGTGGAATATTCCTCGTGGCAGATGACACAGGTACCACCAGCGGCTGCCAGTTGCTCCTTAGAGGGAGAGGATCCCAGGCTCTGAATTGAAATAAAATATTCATGATAACGATAAATTTTCTAACAATTGATTCCATGCACGTACACTGAGAGGAGAAAAATATTTTCTCAAATAAGTCTTGTCTGAGATGACAAATTTTTGTCGCTAGAATAGATTCAGTTCCAAAAAATTTGTATTCTCTCCGCAAGCAAGAACGTCATTTTTACCAATACTTCTTCATTCTTTTATATTCCCATACATATTTTGCTGAGGAAAAATGGTCGTTTTATGCGAAACGAGGAATAGTTTTTCGTTTCGCCAATGCAATAATCACAGATAAGAAATGAATACTTGATATGATAATTTCGTTTATGAAAAATATTTCCATCCTGTCTTTTGAATCAAAAATATCGTTGTTCTTGAAAGCAGAGCGATTGTTCATATTTGAGACTTTCAAACCCAACAACTTCATTTGTAGTAATTTTTAATTTGCGCTTTTTTTGGTCCAAACAAGACTTGATTGAGAAGTTGTTCGTTTTTCTCTCAGTGAATGCATCCTGGACTCACCACATTCTGCCAAAATTTGATGAAAGCATTGACCAGAAATTTTCCTCTAACCAGGAGATCGCGAATTTTCGTAACTCCATACAACGAAGCCATTATAATTCCTAAAACCACTTCAGGGCCCTGATAGGCTTCTTTGAAAACTGACAGCCAAGAGTACATGGGAATGGTCGATCTGTAGAACTGGGATACTGCTTCAATGAACAGATAATATTTTCCCTAAAACGTGAAATTGAATGATGAAACGATTGAATTGGATGAAGGGAAGAAATGAGAAATCTTGGGAACTGGTGAAACGAGATGAGTCTAGCTCATTCATGGTTTGATTCTAGAAGTATCTCTCACAATCACCAAAAATTCATTCTCGTCTCCAAGAATTCATCTCGTTTCATAACACACCAGAACATCCCAAATATCCCAATAGAATAAGTTGTACAGAAAAATTGAACTCTATTTTTTCTACAGAATATTTTCCATTGAACGTTTTAATTGAAAAAATGCAGCGATAAGCTGCCTAACTCTTCAATAGAATCGGCCAGAAACTAGTACACTGAGAAGACAAGTAGTTTTTACATTAAAATATTTTAGCATTGAGGCTAAAAACAATTAAATAACTAATTCAATTTAACTTCGTCCGAGAGATCGCTTTCTTTCCATCAAGAAATCGTCCTCATCATTGTGACAAGCACAAAATTTCTTGACAAAAGTTTTCTTTTTCGAGTGCAAGATATACTGCTCTTGAAAATTTTCAAGCTACAAGTTTCTTGATATAATTAAAGACGTGCTTATCAAAAAACTTTGTCTTTCTCAGTGTAAAAAGTTCAATCTTTCCCCAAAATATTTTCGCGCGTAATCCCTCCCCCGAAACAACACCAATGCTCACCCTCTTTTGATAAGCCAAAAACTTCCCAGGCAAGCATGTCAGGAGTGTCTTCACAGCAACAGTGAAAAGTTTGACCACAAAATCCGTGATAATGATGCCCCACAACAAAATCCAAAATGACGTATGCGCGGAATAAAAGAAGAACGGATAATCATTGAGGACAAGTGAAGTCATGGCTAAGGCACCAAATATATAACACAGAATATGAAACAGGCATTTGCCACTTCCACTGGCTTGCTTTGCAATTTCCCTCTTGAGATCATTATTCGCCTTGATGAAAGCCACGAGGAGCAGCCCGAGGCACAGGGTTCCAGATCGATGATCGTAGATGGCTTTTGTCAGCAATAGTGCAGCAAAGGGCAGATGATTCTGAATAGTTTTGAATAATTCCTGGGCCTCTGGCCTCAGTGGTAACGAATCCACCGACTGCTCTCCACTCTCATTACTACTCTCCTGATTATTTCCATTACTATTACTAATAATACTATTGTTATTGTTTACTGCATTTGCGGAAGCCTCTCGAATATTGTTGAAGAAATTGTCGGCTGTTGTTGACCTCTGAATGTGAATTTGGTGCTCAGGATGGGGACGTGGGGGATTCTGGGGTTGAGGAAGTGGAGTGGACGATTCATCGTCCAAATTTATCACGAATGAATCTGTGGAGGGACTTGTTATTGCCTGCGGCGTTTGAATCACTTGGGGATTCTGCCCTGGGAATCTTGCGTTCAGCCAGGATGTCAGGGACATTGAATTCTGGAAGAAAAACTCCGGATGAATATTCAACATCATTTCTGTTGGTTTTAGGTGGAGAGAGGGACATTTTGGGGGGAAAGTGGGGAGAGAGTGACACTTGAATTTGGCATTTTTTATGGGGTGCTCCATCGAGAATTTAGATGTTCTTTGCTTTTGAATGGAAGCTTTGTGATGGTTCTAATTTAAATTTAGGATTTTTTTTTGTTATGTCAAGCTGTAGTGATCCAAAACGCAATTTTTAGACCCTGTTTTTTTGTTATTATTCGCTTATGAAATGACGGATTTCAAACATTTCTTTGAAATATAGGTATTGTTGAGCCCTATCCATCGATATTAATTCCATTTAAGGCATATGTTAATTTTTAGAATCTTAAATTTTTCTCAAAAAATCAGTTGTCCTGCAAAACTGAAAAAAATGTTCTGAATTCATTGAATTATGGATTGAAAAATTGTTTCGACGTCCCTTTGATTGAGTCCGAAGATAAAGGCGAGTGTAATAATCGTTGTTCATGAAATAATAAAACATTATTCTGTAAACAACGATTCTAGAGGAATTCTGGAGGTTTAGCTGATAATTCAAATGACTTCGCGAAATTTTTGAATTGCTTCACAAATCTTCTGGAATTTCATGCGATTCCATGTTATTTTTGATACTTCGAAGGATTTCAATTGTCATTTCATAGAATCTTATGAAATTTCAGATATTTTATAGAATTTGAGAGAAATTTCATATACTTTCAAGCGATTGGAGTAATTTCAACATTTCTGACAGGTCGTATGTTTTTTTTTCTGCACATTGTGATAAATTTTAAATGAAATTTCTGGAGGAATTTACCTTATAACTCAAATGACTTCACGAAATTCTTAAATTTTTTCACACATCTTCTGAAATTCCATGAGATTCCATGTTATTTCAGATACTTTGAAGTATTTCATCCGTCATTTCATAGAATCCCATGAAATTGCAAATATTTTAGAGAGAAATTGAGAGAAATTTTATATACTTTCAAGCGATTGGAGTAATTTCAACATTTCGGACAGGTCGCATATTCCTTTCTCTACCCATTATGATGAATTTTAACTGAAATTTCTGGAGAAATTTAGCTGATAATTCAAATGACTTCGCGAAATTTTTGAATTGCTTCACAAATCTTCTGGAATTTCATGCGATTCCATGTTATTTTTGATACTTCGAAGGATTTCAATTGTCATTTCATAGAATCTTATGAAATTTCAGATATTTTATAGAATTTGAGAGAAATTTCATATACTTTCAAGCGATTGGAGTAATTTCAACATTTCTGACAGGTCGTATGTTTTTTTTTCTGCACATTGTGATAAATTTTAAATGAAATTTCTGGAGGAATTTACCTTATAACTCAAATGACTTCACGAAATTCTTAAATTTTTTCACACATCTTCTGAAATTCCATGAGATTCCATGTTATTTCAGATACTTTGAAGTATTTCATCCGTCATTTCATAGAATCCCATGAAATTGCAAATATTTTAGAGAGAAATTGAGAGAAATTTTATATACTTTCAAGCGATTGGAGTAATTTCAACATTTCGGACAGGTCGCATATTCCTTTCTCTACCCATTATGAAGAATTTTAAATGAAATTTCTGGAGAAATTTAGCTGATAATTCAAATGACTTCGCGAAATTCTTCAATTTCGTCACACATCTTCTGGAATTCCATGAGATTTCATGTTATTTCAGATACTTTGAAGTATTACATTGGTCATTTCACAGAATCTTGTGAAATTTCAGATATTTGACATGACTTCAATATCATTTGAACCTGTACTAAATTCCATAAGTGATTATCCTCACTTCGCTCAGACCCCTTATGAAATACTCCCCTGTAAATAACTCTCCATAAAACATTATCATCATCGTCATTTTTCACATCGAAAAAAATCTAAACCTCCAAACCCCCTGCCGAGGTAATTCCCACAACAAACCCCAAAATCCCTCTAGAAAATCCCGCAGATCCCATGAATTGCGATCTCGATCAACGACTCCCATCGCCAAATAACGAATTAATAAAAAATGTCAAGTGTCCATTCCCCCTCCACCCTCCCCTCCAGGTATTTACAGATACTTACAGAGTAGGCTTGCGATATAATTGGCCTGATCTCATTTAAATTAGTTGGCACACCGTTGGGGAAGATTCTGGAGGCAGTCGTACGATTGACTTCTGGCAGAGCTTGTACTGTGCGTGACGTATGGCTCATGAGGACACCAGGTGGTGGACTGGTTTCCTCTGGAGATTGTGGTGCTGCAGGTGATTCAGAAGGACCTGGTGTTGGAGCACTGGCTTCAGGCTCTGGCATTTTTCCTCCACTTGTTGTTTTCGTTATTACCAAATCGTGAAGATGCTCACGTACTCATATCTGGGTTTATTGTCAACTCAGTACGCCTCTTGTAGGTTATAATGGATGACGAAACGTCAGGAGTTGAGTCAGATAAGATGGCTAGAGTAATACCTGACTAATCGAGTGGGGATCGTGTGTCCGGATTCCCCCTCAAAATCCAAAAAACTGATTTTATCAGTACTCCAGCAACAATTGAGCACAAGGTTTTTATCTTCTCCCCTCATTCATTGGAACTGCACTTTGAAGTGGTAATTACTCATTGGACGAGTCCCCATTGGGAATTTTTTTAGTTGTTTAGTGCTGGAGTGTAAAGTGTTTTACGTGGGGAATTGGAATAAAATGGGAGTCTTCACTTCACGCTCTCATTCTAGCGCATTGTGGGGGGAATTACGCGACACTGCCATCTGCAATACTTGTGGGAGAAGGACGACAATCGGTGATTCACCAATGTTGTCGGTTTTCTCTCCCTCTTTTTTAGTGTTGCTCGCTGTTGGATGGTGTTGTCTCGCTCGCGGTTTTACTCGGGAGTGCTCGGGAGTTTCAAAACAAAACATAACCTTGCGGTGGTGAAGAACGAATGCCAGCCGATTGTTGTTCTCGGTCTAGTGTGGTCTAGTGTTTGAGTTGAACGGTTGGAAGGAACGTCTCAGGACAATGGAGGACGAGGGAATGGAGCTGAGTGCTGAGGGCATTGAAATTAACGAGAAAGTTGATGTGGTGAGTGGATTTTTGGAGGGGGACGAGGAGGGGGACAGCCTGGTGGCTCCGGAGGGCGAGGAGTGCGATCTGGGGGATGATGATGAGGATGAGGATGATGACGATGATGCGGATGAGGCTGAGGTCAAGCAGCTGGAGGGAGTCCTCGCGGAGAATCCTTACGATTATGCCAGCCATGTGGCGGTTATCACCAAACTGCAGATGATGGGGGATTTGGAGAGGCTCAGGATCGCCAGGGAGAGGATGAGCGACAAGTATCCTTTGAGCCCCGAGCTGTGGCTCGCGTGGCTCAGGGATGAGATGAAACTCGCGGTGAGCGAGGGGGAGAGGAGAGCTGTTGAGGAACTGTGCGAGAGAGCTGTTAAGGATTATTTGTGTGAGTTCTGGAAACTTCTTCTGGTACACTGGTGAATTTAATTACCACTGGATTTTCCAGGAATTTCGTCATTGAAAATTCAGAATTTTGTGGAACAATCAAAGAGAACTGTAAATTTCAGTTGCATTTTTCCGTGAATATGAATAGAAAACTAGAACATTCTGGTAAATATATTCTTTAATTTTCAGGACAGTGACACTGAATGCGATTTAGGAGGAAGAAATCATGAAATTTCAGATTTCACTGAAATTTCAATGTAATTTGGCACTGGATATTCATATTAGATTGGAAATTCAAATAAATTAAGGAATTCTCGTCTTAATGATGCTTAAAACTCGGGAATTTTACAGAATTTTCAGTGAAACCTGAAATTTTATGATTTTTTCCCCCTAAATCGCATTCAGTGTCACTGTCCTGAAAATTAGTAGTCAACTGTCTGTGAAATTTAATTCTTTTTCTAACAATGTATTGTTCTTACACTGTTGGATATTTCTTGAAATTTCATGGAAGATATTACAGTAAATCTCAATTCTTCAATTTTTCCCTGAATTTTCCTGATTTTTCAGAATTTTCACAGAATAATTGAACTGAACAATTAAGTATTCTATTGATTTCCAGATCATTTGAACAGAAAATCAATGGAATATTTGATTTTTCAATGACAAGATTTCCTGAAGTTTCAGTGGAACTTGAACACGATAAAAATTCCGGAATTTGGCACAGAAAATTCAGACGAAAATTTTCAACAGTGTCAGATATGCAGCAAAACAAGCGAGATTATCTCGTGTTGCCCTTCATTACTGAATTAATATAACTGTTTTGAGACTGTTTTGATTGATTAAATGGATTTCAGCTGTTGAAGTATGGCTGGAGTACCTCCAATTCAACATTGGATCAATGGGGAGTGACAAAAATACAACAGACAAAGTGAGACAATTGTTTGAGAGAGCACTAACTGCAGCTGGTTTGCATTTTACCAAAGGTGCCATTATTTGGGAAGCTTTTCGAGAGTTCGAGAATGTATTAGTATCATTGGTTAGTCCACAACATTTTCTCTGTTATGGATTTTTTTTTCCTTTCAAATAACGAAGTCTAGAAAAATTCCTTGGGAGACATTTTTCTATAAAAAAATTTCCTTTCTTTACTTTGTATTTATTTTTTTTAATCCAATCGTTCAAGAGATCTATGCAAAATAGTATTCTTTTGCATTTTAGCCAAAAACTTTACAAATAATAATAATAATAATAATAACAACAATAATAATTGTGTTAACAATCGAATTACAGAAATAGATGAATGAAATAAAATACCGAAATCTAGAAAAATTCTTTCAAAAATATTTTTTTATCGAAAAATCTGATTTTCACAGAAACTTTCTAGTCATTTATCTCTAAACCTAAAAGCTCAACAGAGTTGTGCAAAAGAGTGATTAGATTTTTCTATTCTTCCCACTAATCTAATGAATGAATAACTACGCCAATACCTGCAGGCGTCGAATGACTCTGAAAAAAAGGAGCAATTGGATCGCGTTGGAGCTCTCTTCCGTCGTCAACTGGGCTGTCCCCTTCTCGGCATGGAGAAAACCTGGGACGAGTTCAGCGCATGGCGCTCCGACGAAGGAAAAGAAGCAACAATGGACGATAACACCACCGCCATAATTTACAAGCGTGCCTTGGACATCTCAATCCCTCGCATTCCATTCGAGGAGAAGCTCCTATCGTCCCAGAATGAGATTGAACTCCTGGACGTCTACAAAGCATACCTCCTCTACGAGAAGCAGCACGGGGATCCAGGTAGAGTGACAGTCCTGTACGAAAGAGCAATAACAGAGCTGAGCCTCGAGTGGCAGCTGTGGCTGGACTACCTCGAGTACGTCGAGTCAAAGATCAAGATGGAGACAGTTGTGTCCCCAATCTACGAACGAGCCACGAGGAATGTCCCCTGGATATCGAAAATTTGGATAAAATGGCTGAGGTCCCTTGAAAAATGGGAGAAGCCTCTCCTAGAGGTCCAGAGGATCTTGGAGCTGGCCCTGATCGCAGGATTCTCCAGTGCTGATGACTGCAGGAACGTCTGGATGACGTATCTCGAGTATTTACGTCGAAGAGCGGACCCAGACTCCCCGGAGAAGGAGAAACAACTCGAGGTGCTTGAGAGAGCCTTCAACAAGGCCTGTGAGCACTTGGCCAAGTCCTTCGGGCTTGATGGAGATCCCCAGTGCGTTGTGCTTCAGTTCTGGGCGAGGACTGAAGCCATTCATGCTGGCAATATGGACAGGTCCAGGAGCTTGTGGTCGGATATACTGTCTCAGGGGCATTCTGAGAGGGCTGCCAGCTGGCTGGAGTACATCACCCTGGAGAAATGTTATGGGGACACTAAACATCTTCGTAAACTTTATCAGAAGGCTCTGGCTGCTGTCAAGGACTGGCCAGAGAGCATCGCCAATTCTTGGATTGATTTCGAGAGGGATGAGGGGACGCTCGAGCAGATGGAGATTTGTGAGGCTAAGAGTAAGGAGAGGTTGGCGAAAATTGCTGAGGAGAGGGGAAAAGTTCAGGATCAGGGGGAAGGGAGTTCTGGGTATGGGAAGAAGGTAGGTAAAAACTAAGAGATATTGAATTATTTATGTCAAGGCTGTAGGGGGAAAAGTTTTATTTATGTTTATTTATTTGTTTTTGGGTTTTATTTTGTTCACTTCTACACAATACAAGAGCTGGGCAAAGTGCTATTTTAGAGTTACTAAATATTGTAACGAAAATAGTATTTAAATAATTTGAAACTTGAAATTTTTTGTTTCGTAGAGAAGAAATTAGAACAGAAACAACAATGAGAAGTCAGAAACAATAATTAGAAACAACCATTTTTCAAGATATCAAATACGTAACGAACGAAATCACTATCATATGAGAAGTATGATTTTTTCATGTAATATTGTCCTACATAATTCTATCCGACAATATTCTGTGATGTCACAAAATGTGAAACGCTACATAAAGTCCCGTCTTTAGAAATAATCACAGTAAATAACCCATATGGACGAACGGCGATAATCCATCCATTCTGCCAATTCTGCGTAATTCATTGAGATTATGTCACCGCGAGAGATCAATGAAGGTGATGAGGGATGGGAAAGGGAAATACTCAAAGGAAAAAAACTATTTCATGTAAAACCAAATCATGAAACATTGAAATAAAATAGTAAATACTATTTAATTTTCTGTCTCGTTAAAATGAAATATCAAATGACTATTTCATTTCAGTTTCAAAAAGACATATAAATAAATACCATTTGATCGACCGAAATAGTCAATTTGAAATATACATTTCAAATAGTATTTCATCGTACTGAACCCTTCGGACTAGTATTTCTATTTGATTTTCATAAAATAGTACCCAGCTCTGCACAATACAGCCAGAGCACTACAACACCAAAAATATTAGTATTTCAAGATCTAGGTCGCTGTTATTTACAAATTCCGGTGAAATCAACGCATCATATCGTCAATTACTGGCTTTTGTTTCCCCAGGAGATGGTTAAAAAGGGGAAGAGGAGGCATGAGGAGGTTGGTGGGAAGTGGGAGAATCTTGGAGTTACTCCAAGGAAACAGAATAAAGTGGAGAGAGCTCCAGGTAAAGTCCCACCCAGGGTTGAGAAGAATAGAGAAAAAGTTGAGGAGAAGAGCGAGAGGAAGGGAACCCCTCCTCCAGGGTTTAAACCACCTCCAGGGGAGGAGTCGATGGACACCAGTCAGGACATTGACGACAAAATATCCATCTTCGTCAGTAATTTGGATTATGCAACTAGTGAGGAGGAAGTTAGAGAGGCGTTGAGCCCAGTTGAGCCAATAAGTTTGGTCAAGATGATTACTGACTACAAGGGCAGGAGCAAGGGCTTTTGTTATGTCACGTTGAGCAGTTCTGTGAGTATATTTGGGGGGAGTACTGAGTTTGGAGTTGAATATTTTAGGGACGAGGTCAGCATTGATGTGTTTGTGTTGCCAGAATGCTGTCGAGGATGCTTTGAAACTGGATAGAACTCCAATCAATGGACGACCCATGTTTATCTCTCGTTGTGACCCGAATAAAACTACTCGGGGGAACGCTTTCAAATATGCATCCATTTTGGAGAAGAATAAGCTTTTCGTTAAAGGTATTTATTCAGTTGAATGGGTTTATGCAGCGAATAAGGGGAAAAGGAAGTGCTATTTTTTAAGTAATAATAATATGCCTAATTGGAGATTTTTTTTCAATTTGTTAATTAATGATGTTAATTCAGGAGTTAAATATTCTTTGAGCAGGAATTTTGATTCTTGCATAAAAAATATTAGGAATATTTTTTTTAAAGACATTTAGAGATTTTAATTTGACTTGAGGGTAAATTTCTAATGAATATCTCTGAATCTGAAAAAAAATGGCGGAAATTCTTATGAGAGAATTGCGAATATTGACTCATTTCATTCCATCGCTGATTTTATTAATAATTTCAGTTTGGAGTTTTTTCCTCAATATTCTTAGAGCAGAAATTTTTATTCTTGTATCAAAAATACTGACAATATTTTCATTTTTTTGTGAATTTAGAGATTTTAAGTTGAATTGAGGGTAAATTTCGAATGAATCTCTGAATCTAAAAAAAAATATACCTGGAAATTCTTATGAGAACCATTTCTTGACGATATTCAGCAAAAAAAAATTCTCAGGGAAATTAACTCGTCTCATTCCGCCAGAATTCCCTGAAAAATTACATCATCTTTCAGGCCTCCCGGTAAAAACTACGAAAGAGGACCTAGAAACAATATTCAAGGCTTATGGACCCCTCAAAGACGTACGAATCGTGACATATCGAAACGGCCACTCGAAAGGTCTCGCCTACGTTGAATTCGAGGACGAAAATGCAGCGAGTAAAGCAGTACTAGCGACTGATGGATTAACCATCGACGACAAGGTGATTAGTGTGGCAATTAGTAAGCCTCCTGAACGGAAGAAGAACCCGGAGGAGCCTCTGATCAAATCACTGGGAGGCACCACAACCAGTAGAACTCACTTCGGTGTACCTAAGACTCTCCTCTCGATGATTCCACGAAATGTGAAGCCAGCTGCGAATGGTATTACTGCGGGGAAAACCGATGCTAAACCACTGAATAATCAAGATTTTCGAAACATGCTTTTGAATAAAAAATCATAAAACGGCGTTTTTTTTATTATTCTTATGATATTGTGTTATAAAAATCTATGTGATGAACATAGACATGATAAATGATAGGAAGGGCGATGTATATTCCATTCTAAGACTTAAAATATGACTGGAAAGAATGAAAAACGTATTCATAATTACCATAGGAATAATAAGAATAAATAGAACAGAGATTTATGTACAAAAAAAATTATGATACATTATTTCTCATAACTGACGATGTAGATTATTTATTAGGGTGGCCCTTCAAACCCCTGGTGGGGAGTTTTAAAAGCCCCCGCTCCCCCTCACCTTTGCCAAATAAATACATAAAAATAACTGCGAAGTCGCAGAACCATCTTGTAATGAGGAAGGGTGGGTCTCTATTGAAATTATTGAAATTTCAACTAAAATTTGCTTGAGAACTTGCACAAATTTTTAAAATTTACTAATCTTAAGTTTGGGACCTGAATAATTCATTTTTCATTCACAAACGTTCGAAATATTGCACATTAATTAATAATTAATTGTTAAAAGTTGAAGATCTCAAACGCTTTGAAATCACTAATGACGTCACATAGACGGGGCTGATATCCTCGTATCCGAAATGCAAATGCAGTGCTGTAACAGAGCACTCCGAGGGAGAAAGTTTTGTCAGAGAAAAAATTGTGGCATCAAAACTGATTGTTGTTCCTGCGGGTTCATTGCATATTCTGTGAATGCTGACGAGAGATGAATAAAACGGTGCGTAACATTGCGCTTCAATCACCTGTAATTTCTATCCAAAGCTCCCACAGATTCGATGATCTGTGAGTTTATTCCGATGATTCAGACGACGAGCTATCCAGAACTCGCAAAATTATTTGAAAAAAGTAAAAAAATAAATGCTGATACCTCAGTTGAAAAATCAAAATGACGGGTTATATGGAACTCATTGAGAAATTCAATATATTCAATGATCTGGAAGTTTATTCCGATGATTCAGGCGACGGGCTATTCAGAACTCTTAAAAGTATTTTAAGAATGTAAAAAAATGAATGCTAATACCACAGTTGAAAAATCAAAATGACGGGTTATATGGAACTCATTGAGAAATTCAATATATTCAATGATCTGGAAGTTTATTCCGATGATTCAGGCGACGGGCTATTCAGAACTCTTAAAAGTATTTTAAAAATGTAAAAAAATGAATGCTAATACCACAGTTGAAAAATGAAAATGACGGGTTATATGGAACTCATTGGGAAATTCAGTATATTCGATTATCTGTGAGTTTGGCCTCGAAAACGATTGATTTTGAATTAATTATCATAAGACATCTAGTCAATATTTCGCCATAATTTTCGCCGTTTAGCTATCCATATGATACGAGGAATGTGTGAATAGAGGAATTAGAAAGAATTGAGCTTCATGCAAGTTCCCTATTGCTTAAGTTGAGAGGAGGGCAGCTGTAGGTCAATCACACTATTCCACACACTATTTCACACTATTTCCATTTCATATTTCAGAAATGGTAATAGTTTCGTATTTCAGCTGAACTACTGAATAATTAAGATTTTCGCAGCATTCTATTGAATAAAAAATCGAAACCAATGTTTTTATTATTCTTATTGGTATTGCGTGATAATGATCGATATGTGATGAACATAGAGATGATCAATGAGAAAAATGCAGATTTATATTCCATTCTAAAACTTAAAATAAGACTTGAAAGAGTAGAAAACGTATTCGTAATTACCATAGGAATGATAATAAATAGGAGAGAGGTTTATGTACAGAAAGAAAAATCTATGAAATATTATTTCTCATAACTGAAGATGTAGATTATTCATCGAGGACTGTCTTTTGTGTCTCGGCGGTGCGACTGGTGGTTGAGTCACTGGAGTGGAATTTCCGCTGTCCAAAGCGAGTCTTCGCGCCATCAGCCACTGCTTGGCCCTTCCAGCATGATAGTAGTAGGCATAAAGTAGAGAAAATATCGCCAGAACGACCAGAAGACATGTTCCAGAAATGACAAAGCCGAGAAACCAATAGTTTGATCCTTCTGGGGTGTAGTCTGACGATGAGGTGTCTGTTGGTCTTGATGTTGTTGATGCTGGCCGTCTTGTGGGGGTTGGGGCACGTGTTGGGAGGGGTGCAATGTTGTCGCCGATTGTTATGTCTGCGCAACCACGGAATTCCTCCTGGGGGCCACAGCCAACTGCGCCTGGAATTCATTTTTTTAAATTTATTTTTTATTCCACTCTTAAGGATGTCCAAGTGACTTTCACAGTTTGGTAGAGACCACACTATAGATTTCATCATTTTCAATCAAATCTCACGTAATTTAATTGACAAATCAAATTTGTCAATGAAATTGCGTGAGAAAAATTTTAAAAACGGTGAAGAATACTGCAGAAGTGTCATTAAAATTACATTTTGCACGGATTTTTTTTTACATTCGTTGTTTATAGATTAATAATTGAAATTGTTCAAACTTTCGGAAACCTAATTTTTTTAGGCATGAAATGGATTTCTGGTAGAATTCTGAAAATTAATAAATTTGTTAAGATTCCGAACAAATTGCTGTTTTTGAATTATTGCACCAATTTTTGTCCAAAAATAAACTTTCTAATTTTTTTCAGATCTTTAAAATAATTTATAACGGTTCAATATCGAGAGTCAAATTCGGACCTGCAAAGTTTAAATAATAAAATCATTGTACTGGAGAAAAAATAGCCAAAGTCGAAAGTACTTGGAAATCTTCAAAGGTATCACACCAGTGGATGCTATTAAACGAAATTTCGGCAGGAAGTTCTCAATAATGTTTATAGTTTATCGAATTTGTCAATTGAATCGCATGATACAAAAATTTTTTAATCAAAAAAATATGACCGAATTAGTGTCCTTCAAATTATATTTTCAAAACATTCTCTTGTTATGAATAAATAATCGACATTGTTCAAACTTTCGGTCAAAATTCTTTCTTTCGGTTCAAAATTCTTAGATTTGAGAAATTTGTCATGATTTCCAAAGTGATTTTCAATGAAATACACTGATAGTTTGAAAATTATTTACGGAAAAAGGTCACAATTCTCAAAGAATTAAATTTCGGAATCTTTCTCGAACTATAGACTTTCCCATTTTCTCAATCTTTCTCGCCGATTCAAAATGGATAATTGGATTTAGCCCTTCAAAGTTTAAATAATAAAAATCTTTGCAAAATTTTGGGTCAACCGAGGGCTGAATGGGATTCTATCAAAAATTCAGATATTTAATTACAAATATCGAAGAAGATTTCGACGAAAAAATATGAAATAATAATTATGAAATACTCTTGAAATTTTCTCCCCGGATGCATGGTTCTTGCAAAATTATTATCATAAAATGTAAAAATATCTTTTCGTCCTGATTATGAAAAAATCTTTAATCTTTCCTGTCTAATTTTTTTAAAAGTTCATTGTGCCCCATTTACTTCACTTCCTCACTTATATCGGTCTAAGTAAATCTATCGATGAAATGGAAACATTGAGGGACATTACATGTCATTCTATGTCATCATAATAAAATTCCTGGAGTCTTTCACAATTTCTTCCTGTCACAATGCGTAAATTATGAGGGGTTCAAAATGCAACTTTCTAACTGATAACATCCATGAATTATCGATTGTCATGCACGATAGCTCCTGTATAATTACACGTACAATCGACAATTGCGAAATCAAATGAAAAACGTAATAATCCCTGCGAAATATCAAGGACATCGAGAATGAGTCAAGCCCATGACGTCATCATCATAGGAATATTTTTTCTCATTTCAGTATTATTAATTAATCGTAACATATCAATTATTCGTGTATTGATTATCCCACCTGTTCCATTCCCGCAGTCACCCCAATTATTCCCAGCGATGTACCTCCACTGAAATACACACTGGGCGCATGTAATGTGCTTGGGTAATTTGTAGTAGCTCTCGAAAATTCTGTTACCCGGCCCCGGGTAATATCGAGCTGTTCCGTTCTCCTGATTGAGTAAATTTTTGTCGAGACACTCTTGTGTCGCGTCTTCATTTTTAACAGTTAATTGGCAAATACGAAATTCGAAATAACCGTAATGATTGGCAGTTAATTCTACACGCACTGGAATCACATCACCAGTCTTGTATTTTCTTGATATCACATTTTTACCGTATGTTCCACCTATTTCGTGGGCTCTTGGCTGCAATGAACCACAAAAAACAGGATTATTTATTTATTATGAAGTAGTTCTTCCAGAGGAATCAAAACAACGGAGCATAAGAAAAATTGGATGAGTCAATTTCCCTTGAGAATAATGGTAAAAAGTAAATCTTAGATGAATTAATCCTCAAAAATTATCCTACCGGGTTAATTTCATTATTTTCGTTTTGAATACTCGGTAACACCAGCCTGAGATCCAATCAATATTGCAAATCCTTTTCTCATGCAACTTCCTCCGATTGAATTTAATGTTCTTGGATTTTTTTTCTAACATTATTTCTTGTAGAATTAATTTGTCAGGATTGAATGTCGTGTGGAGGAAGGAAATGAAGTCCAAAATTCGTAATAACCGTAATGATTATGTATGTTCCACTTGTTTCGTGAGCTCTTGATTTCAATGAACCACAAAGAACAGGATTATTTATCTATTATAAAGTAGTTCTTTCGGAGAAGTTGAAGCAACATAGACAAAATTGAAGGTAAATGTTAAGAAAGAGGGAAATTGAATGAGTCCCTTGAAAATAGTGTCAAATCATTTCATTCTGGTAAAAAGTAAATCTTCGATAAATTAATCCTCAAAAATTATCCTACCGGGTTAATTTCATTATTTTCGTTTTGAATGCTTGGTAACAACAGCCTGAGACCCAATCAATATTGCAAATCTTTTTTTCATGCAACTTCCTCCGATTGAATTTAATGTTCTTGGATTTTTTTTCTAACATCATTTCTTGTAGAATTAATTTGTCAGGATTGAATGTCATGTGGAGGAAGGAAATGAAGTAAAAAATTCGAAATAACCTTAATGATTATGTATGTTTCACTTGTTTCGTGGGCTCTTGATTTCAATGAACCACAAAGAACAGGATTATTTATCTATTATAAAGTAGTTCTTTCGGAGAAGTTGAAGCAACATAGACAAAATTAAAGGTAAATGTTAAGAAAGAGGGAAATTGAATGAGTCCCTTGAAAATAGTGTCAAATCATTTCATTCTGGTAAAAAGTAAATCTTCGATAAATTAATCCTCAAAAATTATCCTACCGGGTTAATTTCATTATTTTCGTTTTGAATGCTTGGTAACAACAGCCTGAGACCCAATCAATATTGCAAATCTTTTTTTCATGCAACTTCCTCCGATTGAATTTAATGTTCTTGGATTTTTTTTCTAACATCATTTCTTGTAGAATTAATTTGTCAGGATTGAATGTCATGTGGAGGAAGGAAATGAAGTAAAAAATTCGTAATAACCTTAATGATTATGTATGTTTCACTTGTTTCGTGGGCTCTTGATTTCAATGAACCACAAAGAACAGGATTATTTATTTATTATAAAGTAGTTCTTCCGGAGAAATTGAAGCAACATGATACAAAAATTGAATAAGTCACTTTCCCGTGAAAATAGTGCCAAATCATTCAATTCTGGTAAAAAGTAAATCCTTGATAAATTAATCCTCAGGAATTATCGTACTGGGTTAATTTCATTACTTTAATTTTGAATTCTTGGTAACAACAGCTTGACCAACTCATGATTGTCATTTCACACGAACTGGATTGAATTTATTCGTTAGATTTATGCTTTCGTGCGACAACACTGGATAAGCGATGAGAATGAAATGCAGTAATGAGACCCAATCAATATTGCAAATCTTTTCTTCATTCAACTTCCTCCGATTGGATTTAATGTTTTTGGATTTTATTTTAAACATCATTTCTGTTTGAATTAGTTTGTCAGGGTTGAATGTCATGTGGAGGAAGGAAATGAAGTTAAAAATAGGCTTCACCTTCGCTGAGTCCCAAGCATCTCCACAAATTCCACACTTCCCCTTATTCCTCTGCCACTGCCGCGTAAATCCACCACAGTAGGCTTCATGATCGTTATAATCGTGCGGGGTATCGAAGCCGTACCGCCACATGGAGGCGCGCGAGGGTGGTTCGATGAGGCGTCCATGGGAAGAAACCTGAGGGATCGCTAAACAGCCCAGCAGCAGGAGACTAAACAAGCCCCTCATGGCTACTCCTCTACAAATCTATGCACAGAGAATAGCACCCAAAAACACAAGCTTTATTTTCAGACTTATAATCTCAGATTGAGACTTGTGAAAGCCTCGAATTGAGATTTTCAAGTGTCTCAAATTGAGACTTTCACACAGCAAAAACGAATGTCTGAATTTCACACAGCTTTTGTAGACATTTTTCAGACAATAAAAAACGTCTCAATAAAATGAGAATTTGACTGAATGTCAAACATGAATTAAGATGTTTAGACATCTGTTCGTCTGAAATTCAGACCCATTTTTATTTTATTCAGACGTTTGTTAGTGTCGAAAAATGTCTACGAAAGGTGTGTGAAATTCAGGCATTCGTTTTTGCTGTGCAAAAGCCTAAATTTGGGAGTTACGAAAGTCGTAAGAGACCTTGACAACCTAACTTGAAGAAAAATTTCAAGTTGAGTTCCGAAATTCTTAACTTGACACGCACGAAAAAATTTAATAGAAAAACCTCCCGAATTCGTTTGAAAATTATATTGAATTTCTATTAAACGTTCTAATAGTTTTTGGCTGATTCTGTTGACATGTTCAATAGAAAACATTTAATAGAAAACGTCAACAGAATTCGATTTTTCTATATAACTTATTCTTTTCATATATTTTCTATAGAATTTGCTCGACTCAAATTTTCCAAGTTTTTTCCATTCTATTTTTCTTTTCTTCTCATCAAGAAAATCAAACGAAAAAATTAAAAAATTTGAGCAGAGGAAATTCTCTAGAAAATATCTCAATAGACTAAGTTATATAGAAAAATTGAATTCTCTTGACTTTCTACTAAATATTTTCTACTGAATATGTCAATAGAATCGGCCAAAAACTAATAGAACAGTTCAATAGAAATTCAATAGAATTTTCTAACGAATTCGATAGGTTTTTCTATTAAATTTTTTCATCCGTGGAGGCATTCAAAAGTCAACTTGAGTCAATGAAAGCCTCGAATTGAGATTCAAATTGAAATCTCCGAGTCTCAATGGAGACTTTCGAAACTCTCAACTTAAGACTTAGTCCTCAAATTAAAACGTATGAAAAACTTATTTCAAGACCTTCAAAATCTTGAAATAAGGTGGTATTTGTTATTATTACACAAAAAAATTTACAAAATTCGTGGTAAACGAGTGAGTAAATCAAATGACGGTAAATTGAAACAGTCGATTTTAATTAACCATGAAAAGAACTAATGCATTCTAGTCATGAAAAGATGTTCAAAGAGACAATGGGCAGCAATGTGAGAACAATCGACGAGGTCTAACATATGTAGCACTCGTCTTCCTTAGACCAAGGCTGTTGAACTATGCTACTGACAATAGAGTGCATAAATTTATCATACAATGACAATCGTAATTCTGTAATGAGATCTTATACAAAGATTTCTATGCTAACAAATGAGACCTTACAGCTCTTCTTTTTACTTTAAAAAGTGTCAGCTAAAATTTCGCTATTTCTCTTAGATTCAGAGTTGAAATAAGACACTTATCAGGAGATTTGCCCCTTTATAGTGTGACGCATACCCGAAAGAACCACTGCTCCGTCGTCCCTCAATGTACATCCTCAAGGACTCAGATTGTTTCATTACAGGATCGCATATTAAATTACAATTTATCAATTTCAGTAATTTGTCGATTAATAGTGAATTAATGAAATAGTTTAATCAATTTCGCTTTAGGATAAATCCTTCAACGGTTTAGAAATTTCAAGAACATTCAGCAATATCCAATACCCTGTGGCGTCCCAAAGGTATGAAACGCGGTACAATGTCCCTCGTATAGCAAAAAATCAGACCTTATAGCTCCTATTTTTCACTTTAAAAAGTCTCAGCTAAAATTTCGCTATCTCTCTTAGATTCTGAATTGAAATAAGACACTCATCAGGAGATTTGCCCCTTCTCTGTCTCAGCTAAAATTTCACTATCTCTCTTAGATTCAGAGTTGAAATAAGACACTCATCAGGAGATTTGCCCCTTTATAGCGTGACGCATACCCCAATGGGCGACGGCACCGTCGTCCCTCAATGACTCAGATTGTTTTACCACTTCACCACAGAATCGTTAATTAAATGACAGATTACTTACTGATCCCAGTAATTTATCAATTCATAGGCGATTGAGGAAACAGTCTGAATCAATTTCACTTTTGGATAAATTCTTGAACGGTCTAGAAATTTCAAGAACATTCAACAATATCCAATACCCTGTGACGTCACAAAGGTATGAAACGATGTACAAATGTCCCTCCTATAGTAAAAAAATCAGACCTTACGGCTCCTGTTTTTACTTTAAAAGTCTCAATGTAGACCCTCAAGGGCTCAGATCGTTTCACCATAGGATCGCATATTGAATTACAACTTACCGATCTCAGTAATTTATCGTTTTATAGTGAATTGATGAAATAGTTTAATCAATTTCGCGTTTGGAGGAATTCTTCAACGGTTTAAAAATATCAAGAACAATCCCCAATACATCTAACAATACCCAATACCTTGTGATGTCACAAAGGTATGAAACACCGTACCAATGGCCCTCCTATAGTAAAAATCAGACCTCACAGCTCTTATTTTTCACTTTAATAAATCTCTGCTAAAATTTCGCCATCTCCCTTACATGCGGAGTTGAAAAAGACACTCGTCAGGAGATTAGCCCCTTCATAGTGTGACGCACAGCCGAAAGGACTCAGATTGTTTCACCACAGGATCGCATATTGAATTGCAACTTACCGATCCCAGTAATTTAGCGTTTTATATTAAATTGATGGAATAATTTAATCAATTTCACTTTTGAATAAATTCTTCAACGTTTTAAAAATTTCAAGAACATCTAACAATATCCAATGCCCTGTGACGTCACAAAGGTATGAAACACCGTACCAGTGGCCCTCATATAGTAAAAAAATAGACCTTACAGTGCTTAGTTTTCATTTTTAAAAAGTCTGCTAAAGTTTCCCCATCTCCCTTACATGCGGAGTTGAAAAAGACACTCATCAGGAGATTAGCCCCTTTATAGTGTGACGCACAGCCGAAAGGACTCAGATTGTTTCACCACAGGATCGCATATTGAATTACAACTTACCGATCCCAGTAATTTAGCGTTTTATATTAAATTGATGGAATAATTTAATCAATTTCACTTTTGAATAAATTCTTCAACGTTTTAAAAATTTCAAGAACATCTAACAATATCCAATGCCCTGTGACGTCACAAAGGTATGAAACGCTGTACAAATGTCCCTCCTATAGTAAAAATCAGACCTTATAGCTCTTATTTTTCACTTTGAAAAGTCTCAGCTAAAATTTCGTCATCTCTCTTGCAGTCAAATTTGAAACAAGACACTCATCAGGAGATTAGCCCCTTTATAGTGTGACCCATATCCAAAAGGGCCACCCCACTGTCTCCCCTCGTGAACTCCCAAGAAATCAGATCGTCTCACCACTTCACAACAGAATCACATATTAAATTATAACTTACCGATTCCAGGAAATTATCGATTTATCGATTCACTGAATCTTGAAAACACTTTTTAGAAAAAATATGGCCAGCCAGGCGTGCGAGACTCGGCCGGAGTGACCGGTCGACGTCGACTGAACTCCAGACAACTCGAATAGTCGTTCTTTTCAGTTCTTTTCCTTTGGGAAAGGAGCGACAAATGGCGTGCTCGTTTTCATGTAGGAGTAGGTCATCGGAGCGTCGAGTGTGCCCGCATTTCAATCAGCGACAATGAAACTCGTTACATGAGAAAAAAATTCAGAATCTTCCTAATTAGTTTTTTCATCCTCATGACTAATTAATTTTCCAAGTTATTCTAAGATTTTTTCGTAGTGCGGGGAAAGAAAAGTTTATGTTTTGAGGATCTGTGGCATTTTTTAATTTAAAGAGTGATAAAGGCTAATGTCAAATGATTATATCCCTGAATTTCAGTGATTGAGTCCCTAAAATTAAGAGAAATCCAAGTTATTCTCAAAAATCCCCTAAATTTGTGAATCGATTTTTCAACATTAGGAATAGATTTCAAAAAATTAACGATCAATTTTTTAAAATTACAAATATATCTGCAGAAACTGAAACTTTATCTGTGAATGATGTAGGTAGAAAACTCCTCGGAAAATTGGGACAGAGCTTGTCATAGGGTTTTTTCGTCGCACAGAGAAAAAGTTTTTAGGGATCTGTAGCATTTTTAAATTTAAAGAATGAGAAATGCTAATGAATCCCTAGAATTGAGAGCTATTCTAGTTATTCTCAAAATTACGAATGGATTTCCAAAAATTAACGATCGATTATTAAAAATTACGAATACATCTGCAGAAACTGAAGCTTTTCATCTGTGAATGAAGCAGGTAGAAAACCCGTCCGGAGATTGGGAAAGGGCTTGGCCCGTTTTTACGAGGCCAAGAACCCACGTTTTTAAAAATTTCAGTCTCGTCCCTCTGCAAGTTACCTTGAGACCGTTCGTGAACTCTTTCCTGCACTTTCACACGATGTTTCCTCACCCGCCGGTAGAATTCCACTTGATAAAACTGTAGCCGCCCATACGGGAAGAGAGCGGCAGAAAAAGATAAAACAATAAACTTCAGTTGACAGAAAGAAATTTCACCGTTTTCTAGGCACTCCGGACAGTGATGAACGCCCACGGGATTCGCTTTCGTGGAAGCCGCAGGCCGCAAATTTCCATTCGACTGGATTCCGAGTTTGATTGGCCATACAGGAAGAGGGAACAATAAACTCAGGGTAGAAATTCAATAAACCACGAGTCCATGGATTGATCAAAAACTTTCATATATTCAACAAATTCACACTGATAGAATGATTCATTCATGCCAAATGAGATTTGTTAACTATTAACGAATGGTAGAGTTGAATATGACCAAATAAATATTCGGTAATAGTTAACGAATGGTTCACTTGAAAGGCGAAAGTCGAGTCAAACATGCATTTGTTAACTATTAGCGCGTGAACATTTAGTGAGACCGAATAGACCCTAGCCTCCACACGCAGAGAAAAAATCAATACAAATTACCAGAAAAATAATGCTTCCCTTCGGAAGC